TGTCTGCTGCTTGGTCCCCACAAAAGGTGACCCCCTCCTATCCTAACTCCTGTTTGATCCCCTAGAGCAGGAATTATGACATCCTCACCCCTCATTTGGTCCTCAGCACAGATTATGACGCCCACCCTGTCCTGTCCCCATGTGGTCATACACAACAGGGATCTTGACCCCATCTGTCCTTTTGGGGGGCTAGTCTTGCTAGACAGGGGCTCATGACCCAGTTTGCCCATTTGGACTCTGGTTCTGGAGGAGTGATGTGGCTCAACCCAGGGTCACAGAGCCAGGAGGCGGCCAGGTGGGGGTTGGGAACCCTCCAGGGTCCCTCGTCCCTGACCCAGGCCCCCAGGTTGGAGCTAATCCCCTGACTGCCACACTGCCTTTTGAGACCTGGGCTGCCAGGGAGTGGTGAGGAGGGCCAGGGAACGGGCCTTTATGGGGCACCTGCTGCCTGCCAGACGCCCGGCACGCTGCTTTCCTTGAATCTTCCAACAACCCAATGAGAGGGTCAGGGGGAAACAGGCCCGGAGGGGAAGTGGGCCACCTCCCTCCACAGCACACCTCCCAACTCTTCCCACAGGGACCGGAAGAAGAAGCGGTTTGTGGGACAGTCGGGACAGGAGGACAAGAAAAAGATCAAGACGGAGAGTGGCCGCTATATCAGCAGCTCCTACAAGAGGGACCTGTATCCTGGAGTGGGGTGGGGGGCAGAGGGGGTGGAGCCAAGCGCCTTCTATATCCACATCTATTGTGGGTGGGGGGCGGGGTCAGGAAGGGGCGTGGTCTGGCTCCTCAACCACCCCAGCTCCTACAGGTGGGGGCTAGAGGGGGGGCGGGGTTGAGCGGATTCAGCCACCAGACCCCCTATAGGTAAGGCCTATATCCTCTGGGGGGTGGGCGGGGGGGCCCTGCTCCCAGCCCACGGTTGTCTAGGGCATCTTTCTCTGGATGCTGCACGCAGCTTCCTTAATGCAGCCTCCCAGCTACCAAAAGTGGAAACAGAAGCAGAAAATTGATGATCGTGACTCAGAAGAAGAAGGGACATTTGAACGGCGTGGCCCAGAGCGAAGAGGTGGTAAGCGCGGCCGAGGGCAAGGTGAGAGCCGGGGTAGGATCGTCCTTAAAACGCAGGTTGCCAAGTAGCACATTTGGTCATCTTGGGGGCTTGGTCCTCTTGATCTGGCCTGGGTCCCTCAGTGGGTGACACGCTAAGGTGGGATTTGAACTCAGCTCTGCTGCAGGAGCTTGTGCTCAGTGACCTCGGCTTGGGCCAGCTGCCCCGCGTGCCAGGACCTCGGTCAGCCCCTCAGGGCAGAGGAGCACCTGGGGAGTGGTGACACTCGTGACTCTGAAGGGAGGAGACTGGAGCCTGGGCCCGTCCCACTGCAGCCCCACCTTTGGGGCCAAGCTTGCTGTCAGAGGGGCTCCCGCTTGCTGTCTGGGGCCAGGCTGCGTGCTGGAGCCTCGCCGCACGTGACCTGGGGGCGAGAAGACTTGAGAATGGCCGGCTTTCAGGCCAGGAAACAAGTCGCAGTGACTGGCCCTGGGTCCCCCGCTTGCCTGCTGCCTCCCCCGGCCACCCCCGCCAGGGTTGGGGAGCTTGAACCTGTCCTGGGCCTCTTTCCGCTGGGCCCTGGCCCTGCTTGTCTCCCCCGAGCCCGCAGGGCTGCTCACTGCCTCTTCAGCATCCGAGTCTGTGTCCTTCAGCCTGGGGACGCTGTCTGTCACGGCTCCAGGTGGCCCTCTGCTCTGCCTCTCCCAGGGCCTCCTCTGTTCTCTGCACGTTCCCCCTGTCCTCGTTGACATTTCCTCTGACGGTGGATACCTCTTCTGTTTCTCCCTGTTTCTGTCTTGGATTTTCTCCGATGCATCCTCTCTCTGTTGTTCTATAGGTGTCTTTCTCTCCAGGTCTCTGTTTCTCTTTTTGCCTCTGACTCTGTATCCCTGTCCATCTCTCTGTCTCTTTCTTTGTCTCTGTTTCTCCCCATCTGTCTCTGTCTTTCTGTATCTCTCTCCATCTCTCTCATTGTTCCTGTTCCTTTCTCTCCACGCACACACGCACACGCACACACATGCACGCACACACACACCCCTCCCAGTCTCTGTCTCTCCTCCTCTCTTTGTCTTTCTGTGGGCGTGTCCCTGCCTCCCCCGGACCCCCTCATCCCTCAGTCCTCAGCTCCCAGTTTTATCTGGAGTGAAGCCGGCTGCTGCTGTGGGCTTGCTGGACCCGGGGTGGTGAGGATGGCCTGTGAGCTTCGGGAAAAAGCAGCTGTTCTCCCCCTGTGCTTTGTCCTCACTGTGTGTGTGTGGGGGTCCCTGACAGGTGGCCTGGCCCCTGTGGAGACATCTGGGGCCGCCTTAATGGCCATCTGTGTGGGAGCCCTGCAAGGCCACTGCTGTGGGAGGGGAGGAGCTGGGTGAGGCAAGTGAGTACAGAAGAGGAGGGGCCAGGCCTTAGTGGGGAGCCAGGGGCTGGGGGGCAGACCTGCCCGCCCAGAGAGCCGGGAGGTGGCGGGCGGGGCCACCAACCACTGCTGCTGCTGCTGGTGCCGCTTTGCTGGGTGACCTTGGATAAGTCCCTTCCCCTCGCTGGCCTTCTCTGATTTCTCTCCTGCCAGAGGGAGGTTAAGCTACAGCCTGTTTTCATCTAACAAGCCTAGAGCATGTAGTCCAGAGAGACAGGGTTTAGAGTCTGTCTGGGTCCCCAGTGCCTGGCATAGAGGAGGCACTGAAAAGCCTTTGTTGAATGATATATGATTGTAATAGTTACACTTAGGAGGCCATACTGTGGGCTAGGCCTTGTTCTGAACCCTGCACACATAGTAACCCATTTACTCCACATTAGGACTTATAAGGTAGGTGTTCTTATTCGTAATTCATAGGAGAGGAAACTGAGGCACAGAGAAGTAAGGTAGTTGGCCCCAGGTCCAAGAGGTCACAGCTGGGACTTGATCCCTGGCAGTTTGGGCTAGAGGGTCCATGCTATTGCCCATTACAGTAGACTACTTAAGCTTTATTAAGCACTTACCATCTGCCACATGTTGGGGCCACAGCAGTGAACACAGAACGAGAGCGGGGACAGGGGAGCATCCCGGAGGCTTCTGGGAGGAGGAGACATTGGGAGTCGACCCAAAGCCTGAACTCCCTGAATCTCCATCCTGGCAGGTGCATCCCAGCCCCGCACCCCTGGTGCCCCCACAGGCCGCGTGCGCTCAGAGCTCAAGACCAAGCAGCAGATCCTGAAGCAGCGGTGCCGAGCCCAGAAGCTGCGCTTCCTGCAGCGTGGAGGCCTCAAGCAGCTCTCTGCCCGCAACCGGCGCCGCGCCCGGGAGCTGCAGCAGGGCGCCTTCGGCCGGGGCGCCCACTCCAAGAAGGGCAAGATGAGGAAGAGCCTGTAAGGAAGGTGATACAGCCCCGTGGTTCCTCACCTGGTCCAAGCGTGGACATAAGCAATGTTCCCCGTGTACCACTGTGTGCCTGGCCCTGAGCTGGATGCTGGGGGGCTCCCTGCAGAAGCCGTGGTCCATGCAAAGGAGTGCTTGCTATACGGCCGCAAAGGGGCAGCAGCTGCCTCTGCCTAAGACAGGGCACGTTTGAGCAGGGTGTTGAAGGGTTCATAGGAGTTTGCCAGCAAGGCCAGGCAGGCCACGATCTGAGTTGGCAACTCGGCTGCTGCTGCTGTGTTCTGGATTCAGAGGTGGTGGCCACATGGGTGTGAGCCCTGAGTGCCTGAGGCCTAGTGATGTATTTTTAATGTAATAAACCTTTATTGAGCGCCTCCAGTGGACCAGGAGCATTGAGTTGGAAGGGACAGACCCGGGTACTAGAGTCCCAGCTAGTGTGCGGATGAGCCGAGAGCATGTGGGCAAGTCCCGAGTGGGTTCTGCTGGAATCTCCATTTTGCAGATGAGGAAAGTTAGGCTCAGAGGGTGGGTCGGTTGCTCAGATGGGAACGCCCCAAAGCTGGCAGTCAGTCCCCTTCCTCCCACCAGGACAGGCTTGCAGCTGGGACTGGACGGTGGGAGGGAGACAGCACGTAGAGTCTGGGTGCAGAGGGTGCAGTGCGCTTCCTGGATGTGAAGGAATTCACACTGTCCCCACACACCCAGAGGTCAAAACCTGTCCTGGCCTCTGTCCTGCTTTAAGCCCTGTTCTCCTCAGCCCCTGTTGGGGGTCCTGGGAAGGTCAAGGGCAGCCTCCAGTAGCTGGATTCTCAGAATGGCCATCACTCAGCGCCAGTCCACGACGGAGGAGCCTTTGTGAGCAAGCGCCCCAGGATTGGGTGTCTGCCGTGTGACCCTCTTGCTGGTCCTCCTTTATTTTACTTTACTTACCAAACACCCATCTAAAATTTACCAGAAATTTTGCACCAGGCCCCATTTCAAGCATCTGACAAACATCAGCTTGTTTAAATACCCCCAACTGGGACCTCCCTGGTGGCGCAGTGGTTAAGAATCCGCCTGCCAATGCAGGGGACATGGGTTTGATCCCTGGTCCAGGAAGATCCCACATGCCGCAGAGCAACTGAGCCTGTGTGCCACAGCTACTGAGCCTGGGCTCTAGAGCCTGTGAGCGACAACTACTGAAGCTCGTGCACCTAGAGCCCGTGCTCCACAACAAGAGAAGCCACTGCAATGAGAAGCCTGCATACCGCAACAAAGAGTAGCCCCTGCTCGCCACAACTAGAGAAAGCCTGTGCAGCAACAAAGACCCAATGCAGCCAGAAATAAATAAGTAAATAAATTTATTAAGAGGAAAAAAATCCCCCATCTGCCCTGGGTGGGAGGACCAGGTCCCAGGTCCCATGGGGGATGTGGGATTGGTGCCCTCCATGTAGTCCACATTCACTTAGTATTTGCTGTGTGCTCCTCATGCCCACCCCACTGCAATCTGAGCGGGCACAGCCCTCCTGTCTTTCTGGTGAGAGCCACTCAGCCCGTACCCCGCAGGAATTGTGTACCTCCTGGGGGCCCCTCCCCCACTGCTCACCTGGGTCAGGGTCAGGAGGCAGGGACGGCGGGCTTGGCCTGATGGAGGCCGGCCAGCATGGCGGAGAGGTCCAGGATGAAGAGCTTCACCTGGGGGTTCCAACACAGCCAGAGTCAAATCCCAGCCTCTTGAGTGTCCAGTACCCACCCCCCCCCCAAAACCCCAGAGGCTGCAAAGCAGGGGTGGGGGATAGAGACCCTTATTAGACAGCAATGATGGTGGTTCCCTGGGGCAGTGAACCTGGCCTAAACCATTCTGGGTTTTTTTGTTTTTGTTTTTTTTGGCGGTACGCAGGCCTCTCACTGTTGTGGCCTCTCCTGTCGCGGAGCACAGGCTCCGGACGCGCAGGCTCAGCGGCCATGGCTCATGGGCCCAGCCGCTCCACGGCATGTGGGATCTTCCTGGACCGGGGCACGAACCCGTGTCCTCTGCATCGGCAGGCGGACTCCCAACCACTGCGCCACCAGGGAAGCCCCCATTCTGGGTTTTTGAAGCCTCAGTCCAAGCTTCCCAAACAGTTGATTCGCGGGCACCTTCAGTTTTCTAGATGGCTATCACCTGTACTATAGTTGAATTAGTATTTTCACTTGCATCAATTTTTTTTCCTTTTAATTGGATTAGTCGTGTTCACTGGTATATGACCTACTCTTATCTTCTCCATGGGGCACCCTCCTTTATTTTAATTAACCTATTTATTGGTACAAACTTAGTGAACACCCACGGATCCACTGCCAAGACCTAGAACTTGATGCAAACTTATCCTTGGGCTCTTCCTTCACATTTGTCACCGAAATAAACATCTGACAAGGAAACTCTATCTCTACCAAAAGTGGAAAGAGATTAAATTACTCCTTGCCGTAAGTAAGGGGTAACTGGAAAAATAACGAAATGAAAATGAAGCCTGGTTACTCAATTCTGGCAGCTACCATTACCCACAGAGGGTGTGAGCCCCCAGGCCCTGGAGACCAGGGAGTATTATGAGGTTAAAGGCATAGTTGCTGCCCCCCCGCCGCCATTGAACCTTTCTCCTTGGTAAGATCAGATGGTTGGTTCAAAAAGCACTGGCTTTCCATCACTCTGATACCAAAACCAGAAAAAGATATCACAAAAAAAATTATAGACCAATATCACTGATGAACACAGACGCAAAAATCCTGAACAAAATACTAGCAAACAGAATCCAACAGCACATTGAAAGGATCATACACCATGATCAAGAGGGATTTATCCCAGGGATGCAAGGATTCTTCAATATACACAAATCAATCAATGTGATACACCACATTAACAAATTAAGGAATAAAACCCAAATGATCCTCTCAATAGATACAGAAAAAGCTTTTGACAAAGTTCAACACCCATTTATGATAAAAACTCTCCAGAAAGTGGGCATAGAGGGAACCTACCTCAACATAATGAAGGCCACATATGACAAACCCACAGCAAGCATCGTACTCAATGGTGAAAAAGCATTTCCACTAAGATCAGGAACAAGACAAGGCTGTCCACTCTCACCACTCTTATACAACATAGTTTTTGAAGTCCTATTCACAGCAATCAGAGAAGAAAAAGAAATAAAAGGAATACAAATTGGGAAAGAAGAAGTAAAACTGTCACTGTTTGCTGATGACATGTTACTATACATAGAAAATCCTAAAGATGCCACCAGAAAACTACTAGAGCTAATCAATGAATTTGGTAAGGTTGCAGAGCACAAAATTAATGCACAGAAATCTCTGGCATTCCCATACACCAACAACGAAAAATCAGAAAGAGAAGTTATGGAAACATTCCCATTTACCATTGCAACAAAAAGAATAAAATACCTAGGAATAAACCTGCCGAAAGACGTGAAAGACTTGTACTCAGAAAACTATAAAACACTGATGAAAGAAATCAAAGATGACATAAACAGATGGAGAAATACACCATGTTCTTGGATTGGAAGAATCAATATTGTGAAAATGACTATACTGCCCAAAGCAATCTACAGATTCAATGCAATCCCTAGCAAACTACCAATGACATCCTTCACAGAATTAGAACAAAAAATTTTACAATTCGTATGGAAACACAAAAGACCCCGAATAGCCAAAGCACTCTTGGGAAAGGAAAATGGAGTTGGAGGAATCAGGCTCCCCAACTTCAAACTATACCACAAAGCTACAGTAATCAAGACAGTATGGTACTGGCACAAAAACAGAAATATAGATCAATGGTACAGGATAGAACGCCCAGAGATAAATCCACGCACATATGGCCACCTAATTTATGACAAATTACAAGAACATACAGTGGAGAAAAGACAGCCTCTTTGATAAGTGGTGCTGGGAAAACTTGGACAGCTACATGTAAAAGAATGAAATTAGAACAATAAACATAAACAAAAATAAACCTCCAAATGGATTAAAGACTTAAATGTAAGACCAGACACTATAAAACTCTTAGAGGAAAACATAGGAAAAACACTCTTTGACATAAACCGCAGCAAGATCTTTTTGACCCACCTCCTAGAGTAACGGAAATAAAAACAAAAATAAACAAATGGGACTTAATTAAACTTAAGAGCTTTTGCACAGCAAAGGAAACCATAAACAAGACAAAAAGACAATCCTCAGAATGGGAGAAAATATTTGCAAATGAAACAATAGACAAAGGATTAATCTCCAAAATATACAAACAGCATATGGAGCTCAATATCAAAAAAACAAACAATCCAGTTAAAAAATGGGCAGAAGACCTGAATAGACATTTCACCAAGGAAGACATACATGAAAAGATGCTCAACATCACTAATTATTAGAGAAATGCAAATCAAAACTACAATGAGAAACCCCCTCATGCCAGTCAGAATAGCCATTATCAAAAAATCTAGAAACAATAAATGCTGGAGGGCTTCCCTGGTGGCGCAGTGGTTGAGAGTCCGCCTGCCGATGCAGGGGACATGGGTTCATGACCCGGTCCGGGAAGATCCCACATGCCGTGGAGCGGCTGGGCCTGTGAGCCATGGCTGCTGAACCTGCGCGTCCGGAGCCTGTGCTCCACAACGGGAGAGGCCACAACAGTGAGAGGCCCGCGTACCGGTTAAAAAAAAAAAAAAAAATGCTGGAAAGGGTGTGGTGAAAAGGGAACCCTCTTGCACTGTTGGTGGGAATGTAAATTGATACAGCCACTATGGAAAACAGTATGGAGGTTCCTTAAAAAACTAAAAATAGAACTACCATATGACCCAGCAATCCCACTACTGGGCATATACCCTGAGAAAACCATAATTCAAAAAGAGTCATGTACCAAAATGTTCACTGCAGCACTATTTACAATAGCCAGGACATGGAACCAACCTAAATGTCCATCAACAGATGAATGGATAAAGAAGATGTGGCACATACATACAATGGAATATTACTCAGCCATAAAAAAAACCGAAATTGAGTTATTTGTAGTGAGGTGGATGGACCTAGAGTCTGTCATACAGAGTGAAGTAAGTCAGAAAGAGAAAAAGAAATGCCATATGCTAATGGATATATATGGAATCTAAAAAAAAAAAAAAAAGGTACTGATGAACCTAGTTGCAAGGCAGGAATAAAGAGGTAGACATAGAAAGTGGACTTGAGGACATGGGGTGGGAGGGCGAAGCTGGGGCGAAGTGAGAGTGGCATTGACATATACACACTATGGAATGTAAAATAGTTGGCTGGTGGGAAGCAGCAGCATAGCACAGGGAAATCGGTGCTTTGCGATGACCTAGAGGGGTGGGATAGGGAGGATGGGAGGGAGGCTCAAGAGGGAGGGGATATGGGGACATGTGTAGGCATATGGCTGATTCGCTTTGTTGTGCAACAGAAACTAACACAGTATTGCAATTATACTCCAATTATGCTCCAATAAAGCAATTATACTCCAATAAAGATTATACTCCAATAAAGCAATTATACTCCATAAAGCTCTATTAAAATAAAATAAGATAAAAAGGACTGGCTTTTGCCTGTTGCTTCATATCAAGCCTCTGTCCCTCCTAGAGTCGTCTTTTGTACCTTGGGGTACCCGGGCAACACTTGAGAGAACAGTGGTGTACATACGAATCCACCCGACTCAGGATGTGGCACAAAGGTAGGCTCTGGGGACCCAGTTCTTGGCATTTGGTTGGAATTCTGGCTGCAGGACAGGAGTGGGATGGGATGGGTTAAAGGCAGGGGTGTTTCCTCCACTTCTCAAAGGGGCCATGCTTTGGGAACCCACTAGAATCAACAGAAGTGTCCAAAGTCAGAAACCCCCTGCCTCTGTTGTAAACCATGTCACATGTTCTACCACCTTGCAAACCCGAGTGAATAGAAAAGCCGGGCATACTTGGTACACAATGACATTTGTAATGCCATCGTACAGAAAGAAAAACCACTGTACAACGCTGCCCTCACGCTTCCCAGGGAAGCCAAGGCCTGACTGTGTGGGAGCCAGAGGGTCAGGGACTAATTAAAGGTGAGTCTCCATCTCCTGGTTTCTTGTTGATGTCATGTTTGTGCTTTTGATCCTGAGACAGAAGAACTCTTGGCATAACTGTATTGTACCCATCAGTATATACCCCGGCCTCCTGCACAGTGAGGGCACTGAGACCCAGAGAAGATCTTCTGACCTCATAGCAGGTGACCAGCAGAGCCGAGACCAACCCAGGACTCCCGGGCAGGGGCCCGGGCGGCCACGGAGCTAGGAGACTGGGCTCTGATCGCAGAGGGTCATGCTTAACCCAGAGAAGGCGGGATTTCAGGCACCATGATGTTCCCAACCCTTAGGGGGCAGGAGGTGACATAAAGAGAGATCCTCACCTGCTCCAGCTGCCCCTCGGTGTCCTCGATGTCCAGGGCAGGTGGGCGCCTCTGGTGCTGGCACACTAGCTGGAACAGGTTGAGTGCGGCCATCCTGGTGCGTCCCAGGAGCAGGGTCTTCTCAGCCGCGGTGTTCTGGATCTGAATATACTTGGATTCCTGGAAAACACCGCCCCCTTCCCCATTAAGGTGTGAGCTGGCCTGAGGAGGGCTGGGACCACATTCGCGTCCACTTCCCACCAGTCATAGATGCCCCTAGGTGCTATCAGGGAGAGGAGTGCTGGACTCGGGTGTCAAGTTCTCATAGGAAGGGCCTCCTGCGCCCTAAAGTGCTTTCCGATGCCTGAAACCTGCCCATGAGCGTAGCGTTGCCCCATATGGCACTCCTCCCGGCGGTGGGAGGCTGGGGTCCCGGGCGCCCACCTCCTCCCGGCGGCGGTACCCAGTGCAGCGTGCGCTCCCGCGCCGCCTCCAGTTGCTCCAGCAGTTGCGCTCGCCGCTGGCCCTGCCGCAGCAGCTCGTCCTGCCAGGTGTCCCGCAGCCGCCGCAGCCGCGCGCGCGCCTCCTCCAGCTCCGCGAGCCGCTGGCGCTCCGTGAGCCTCAGCGCCGCCTGCGTGTCGGCCAGGCCGTCGAAGCGCGCCATCAGCTCGGGGACCTCTTGGAACTGGGATGGGGTCGGGAGGGGGACTCACCGGGACTGCAGCCCCCCTGCCCTTCCTCGCCCTACCACCCCCCGCGCCTCCTCATCCCAACTGTGAAATGGGGGCATCACACAGCCCCTGCCCCAGAAGTGTGATTACTCCGGCCCCTCCCCACCTCCACCATCAAACCTAGCTAAGCTTCACTGCCTGTGATTAATACTAAGTCACTGTTTCATTCAACTAATACTGAGTGTTTGGATTCCCCCTCCCCCCACCTGCCTGTGTGTCCTTGAGTAAGTTATCTTTCTGAGCCTCAGTTGCCCATCTGTAAAATGGGGTTGGCAATAACAAGACTCACTTCACTGGACCTTGGAGAGAATTCAAGAACAAAGCGTGTTCCTGACATACAGTTAGTGCTCAATAAGTGGTGACTCCTGGCATACAGTTAGCGCTCCAGTAGTGCACACTTCCAAAGCCGTCCCTGAGGCTGCCTGGGGCTGCACGTGGCGCTGAACACCAAAACCTCCTGTAGGGCGCTCACCTCGGGCAGCTGCTCCAGTACTTGCCCCAGCAGGCGCGCGCAAGGCTCGAGGCGCCAAAGCAGGCGCTGCAGCCGCGCGCGCTCCCGCTGCAGCTCCTCCAGCTGAGCCCGAAGCCGCAGCGCCTCCGCCTCCCGGCGGCCCGCCAGTTGCCGCTCCTCCGCCGCCCTCCGCAGTGCGCGGCTGCCCCGGGCCTCCGCATCCTGGGAAGGAGGGATGGAGAGGAGGCGACGACCCCCAGGACTTGGGAGCCTGCGGAGCTTGTCGCATCCACTCCACCCCAACATTCGCACGCTGAGTCACGGGTTGCAAATAGATGGCCCACGGGCCAAATCCAGCCAGAATCTCTGATTTTGGTCCCTCACTCCTCTCCCACGCTTTTTAAAATGCTTCAGGCAGTAGTGTGTATTTCCCACCACTCCCTTTTGTATTGGTAAGCCCACTTTTTAAGTTTACGTCTGGCTCCTTTAGGATTGTGACTTTGTGACCCTCTGCCCTGCCTCCCCCCAGCAGGCTCCACCTACCTGCAAAAATTTTTCAAAGCGGACAAAGGACCCCTTTAACTCCTGCTCTTTCTGTTCCAATTGTTCCCACTGCTGTTTCAGGGATGCCTGCATAGTCTGGAACACCTGGGGGGTAAGGAGTGGGTGTCTGTGTTTGTTTGGGGTTTCAAGTCATCCAGCGCCTTCACGCTCACACTTAACCTCGCTCACCTTTTGCCCTTAATCTTTTTTTTTTTTTTTGGCTGCTGCCTTGCCGCGTGTGGCATCTTAGTTCCCATGCCCCCTGTGGAAGCGCGGAGTCCTAACCACTGGACCACCAGGGAAGTCCCTTTTGCCCTTAATCTTGTCACTGCACCCTTGCTCAAATCCACCCGTGGCTCTCACCACCCACGATGAAACCCAAATTCCCTCCTGTAGCCCCTGCGTGTCAGCATGCCTGCTCTTCCTTGGGGCCTCATCTTACCCTCTCTCCTCTGACACTGTCTTCTAGCCTCTTACCCACCTGTGTTTTGTCCTTGCCTTCCTGTCTTTGTATATGTTGCTCCCTCTGCCTGTTTCTCCCTCCTCACCCTGTCCCCCTTTGCTGGATAAGCCGACTTGCCCTTCAGCATTCCCTAAGACATCACTTCCTCCAGGAAGTCCTCCATGACCACCCCTGTGTAGAGATAGGGGCTTTCTCTGGGCTCCCACAGCCCTTGCTCAGTGCTTCCCCCCTCACAGCCATCACCACCTGGACACTTGTCTGTCCGCTTCTCTAAGCTGTGAGCCCATGAGGGCAGGGACTGTGGTGAGACCTCTAGATCCCAGCGCAGTGCCCTGCATGCAGTAGCTGCTCAGTGCATATTTATTTGCACAAACCACTGATCTCATTTGATCCCCCGTTTGACAGACGAGGAAACCAAGGCTCAGGACGGTGATTTGTCTCAGACCTTGTAGGAATAAGTTGGCTCCATCACTTTCCCATCTTTTTCTTCCCATCTTTTTTTAACTTTTTGTCCCCAAAAGTTTCAGGGACTGCATTGAGTGGCTCACCTCCTTCTGGGCCTGAAGGCCCTGGTCCGCATCCACCAGTTCCTGCCTCTTCTCCAAGAGACGCAGCAGTGGCGGTGGGACGTGGTCCACATTCTGCCCCTGGATCTTCCTGGAGGGGCTCGAGGAAGAGGTGAGGGTGAAGGAGGCAAGAGTCAGGGCCCCCAAACTCCCCACTGGTGCCTGACATACCCCAACTAGCTACCTCCTGGCTGTTGAATTTTTCATTCATTCAACAAATTGTCCCGAGCACCTACTCTGTACCAGGCACTGTTCTGGGCACTGGGGATGCAGCCCTGATCAAGACAGACAGATCCCTGCCCTCCAGGAGCTGCCGTCCTGCTGGGGACCGCAGAAAAAAAGCTAGCAAATAATAATAAATAATGCTAGGACATGGCAGGTGCTAAGATGAAAAATTCAGCAGACTGAAGGGACTCTCTCAATAGGAAGATAGAAAAGTCTCTGTGGGGGGGACATCTGAGCAGAAGCTTGAAGGGGAAGAGGGAGGGAGCCATGAGGATACCGCAGGGAACAGATTCTAGGCCGAGGGAATGGCCTATGACAAACCCCGAGGGAAGGACCTTGGTGTGTAGAAGGAGCTGCCAGGAGGCCAGTGCAGTTGGAGGGGAGGAAGGAGCAGAGAGACGGGAACTGAGATCAGGGAAGTTGTGAGGGTGACTGCGGTGGGCCGTGATGAGGGGGTACTTTGGCCTTGACTCTGAGTGAGGTGGGAGGCCTGGGAGGGTTTGGAGCAGAGGAGGGAATCCCCTCTGGCTCCTGTGGGGAGCAAGAACAACAGGAGGGGCAGGGCAGCTGCAGGGGACCAGGGACGGGTCACAGGATAATGCGGAGAGGATGGGGCTCTGATCTGGGTGGGTGCAGTAGAGAGGTAAGGAGGGGGCGGTTCTGGATACCACTGGAGAGCAGAGCTGATGGGGTGACGAGAGGGGGAGAAAGGAGTCGAAGGGGAACCTAGATGCTGGAAGGTTGTTGCTGATAGCGGGCTGAGTGGGAAGCAGGGAGATCAGCTCTTCGCTAAGGCCAAGTTGAGACTGAGCTGCCTATTGACCTCTGCGGGAAGGATCCAGGGGGAGGCTGGGATCTGGAGCCAGGCTCACAGGGGAGAGGAGGGGCTGGACACAGCTCCGCAGGGTCGGCCCTGTAGGGAGCAGAAGGGATGCACTGCCATTCCACTAGGCAAGGCTCTCCCAGCTCTGGTCCAGGGGAAACCCTCCCATTTTACTGATTCTGAGACTGAAGATGGGACCCCCGGCCACACTGCTGAAACAAGGCAGGCACCGGACAAGCTTCCTCCACTCTTCCTTTAAAATGCAGTTTGCAGTGAGAGGGGGCAAGAGCTCGAAGAGTAATTCCTTCCCACCTTGGATCAAATGATATAATCTCAGCTGGATATCAACTAGGGATGGGGATCGAGAACAGGTTAGAGACCTGGGCCTTTGACCCAGCTCTGCCCTAACTACCCCTGAGACCTTGAGGAAATTGCCATTTCCTTCGGAGCTTCAGTTTCTTCCTCTATGAAGTGGGGGCAATAATCCCCCACCAAGAACTGCCCGAGGAAGCCAGAACCCAGGGGTAGGGGGAAGGGAGGGATCTTCCCACCTGCTCCTGCCCTCCTTTCAGCCCCCCCTGCCACCCCACGCCACTCACGTAGACAGTTTCTCTTGCAAGGCCAGTCGGAAATATTTCTCCCAGGGCACTGCCATTCTCCTGGCAATTGCCCCAGGCTTGCTTTCTTTCTGGAGTTTGCACTAGCCTAGAGGAGGCCCTGGAGGGTTCTGATGGAGGGTTTGCACGCTCAGTATTCCCGGAAGGCAGCCACCCAGCCAGCCTCGGTCGCCCGGGCAACCAACGACACAACATTCCATTGCCTGCCTGAGGCCTGGAGAATCCACCCGGAGAGGGAGAGAGAGGGGGCTGCAGGGAGGGGAGCATCTTCTGCCCGGTCTGGAGGAGGCTTGAACTCCCAATCTAAATTGGGGTGCAGTGAACAGGACGTGGGTCTCTTGGCCAATAATTTGCCCCTCGGTGCCCCATGTCTGGTCAAACCTCTTCCTGGATGGGTGGGATGGGGCCTCACTAATGTGGCTGTGTGCTCAGATGTCTGTTCAAATGAGTAATTTTTGGACACCCACTGTTTGCCAGGTCCTTGGGGGGCAGGCATTCACTCCCTGGCAAGGTGCTGAGGTCCTACTATGTTCCAGCCCTTTGATGGTCCACTCCCATTGCTGGCTACCCTAGCCTTGTCTCACGGAGCCCCCCGCCTGGTTAGGGAGATAAAGCAGAGGGGCCATCAGCACTACCCTGTGGAAACCAGCTTGGAGGGACCCAGAATCTGCATTTGGAGGATGGGGGGTAGGGGAGGAGGTGACATAGCTTGCGCAATTACAGTGGGTCAGACACTGTCCTGAGTACTCTACTTACGGTATCTAATTTAATCTTTAAAACAGCACTGCCGGGAGTGGTAATAGAGAAAAGTACCCAGAGTAATATTACAAATACTCATGCGTCCGCCAACTGGAAATAACAAACACGAGCGTCTTGTCCTCTTTGCTTCCAAGCGTCTTATTTTTCCTTTTTAAATAATTTGTTTTTTCATGTAAGGAAATGTATTTTCTTTTTGTAGAGTAACACTATTTAAAAAAAAATTTTATTGAGGTATAAGTGATTTATACTGTTGTGTTAATTTTTCTGTACAGCAAAGTGATTCAGTTATATATGATTCAGTTGTACATATATATGTATACTTTTTCATACTCTTTTCCATTATGGTTTATCACAGGATATTGAATATAGTTCCCTGTGGTAGGGGAACAAAGTAGGACTTTGTTGTTTATCCATTCTATATATAATTGTTTGCATCTGCTAATCCCAAACTTCCAATCCATCCCTCCCCTACCCCCCTCCCCTTTGGCAACCATAAGTCTGTTCTCTATATCTGTGGGTCTGTTTCTGTTTCTTGGATAAGTTCATTTGTGTCATATTTTAGATTCCACATATATGTGATATCATATGGTATTTGTCTTTCCCTTTCTGACTTATTTCACTTAGTGTGATAGTCTCTACGTTCATCCATGTTGCTGCAAATGGCATTATTTCATTCTTTTTTATGGCTGAGTAGTATTCCACTGTATATATGTACACCACATCTTCTTTATCCATTCATCTGCTGATGAACATTTAGTTTGTTTCCATGTCTTGACTATTGTAAATAGTGCTGCTATGAACACTGGAGTGCATGTATTTTTCAAATTAGAGTTTTGTCCGGGTATATGCCCAGGAGTAGAATTGCTGGATCATTTGGTAACTCTATTTTTAGTTTTTTGAGGACTCTCCATACTGTTTTCCATAGTGACTGCACCAATTTACGTTCCTACCAACAGTGTAGGAGGGTTCCCTCTTCTCCAGACCCTCTCCAGCGTTTGTTTCGGTTTTTTTCCATAAATTTTATTTATTTATTTTTGGCTGCATTGGGTCTTCATTGCTGCGTGCGGCCTTTCTCTAGTTGCAGCGAGCAGGGGTACTCTTCATTGTGGCGCACGGGCTTCTCATTGCGGTGGCTTCTCTTGTTGCAGAGCATGGGCTCTAGGCATGCAAGCTTCAGTAGTTGTGGCACTCTGGCTCAGTAGTTGTGGTGTGCGGGCTTAGTTGCTCCGCAGCATGTGAGATCTTCCCAGACCAGGGCTCGAACACATGTCCTCTGCATTGGCAGGTGGATTCTTAACCACTGTGCCACCAGGGAAGCCCCAGCTTTTTTATTTACAGATAATTGTAGATTCCTGTGCAGTTTAAGAAATAAAAAGAGAGATTCCATACTGCTTCACCCAGTTTCCCCCAGTGGTGACATCTTGCACAGCAACGGTCCAGATCACAATAAGGATATTGACATTGATACAATCCCCCCACCTTATTCAAAATGCTTAGTTTTATAATCACTCGTGTGTGTGTGTGTGTGTGTGTGTGTGTGTATTTAGTTCTATGCAATTTTTACAATTTTATTTATTTATTTGGCCATATAGCTGGCTTATGGGATCTTAGTTCCCTGACAAGGGATCAAACCTGGGCCCCTGGCAGTGGAAGACCGGAGTCCTAACCACTGGACCGCCAGGGAATTCCCTCATTCTATGCAATTTTATCACATGTCCATTCCTATGACTGCCACAGTCCAGATACAGAGCATTCATCACGAGGATACTTCAAGCTAACCTTATATAGCCACACCCATCCCCTCCCTCCTGCCTTCCTAACACCTGGCAACCATTCATCTGTTCTCCATCTGTATTACTTTGTCATGTCAGGGGTGTTGTATAGTAATTGGAATCATATACTATGTAACCTTCTGAGATTGGCTTTTTTCAACTCAGCATCATTCTCTCTCTTTTTTTCATGGATGAAGAAATTTTATTTTTTTAAAAATATTTATTTATTTATTATGGCTGCACTGGGTCTTCACTGTGGCACGTGGAATCTTCACTGCAGCACGTGGAATCTTCACTGCAGCATGTGGGACCTTTTAGTTGTGGCATGTGGACTCTTAGTTGCGGCATGCATGTGGGATCTAGTTCCTCGACCAGGGAATGAACCTGGAGCCCTTGCATTGGGGGGCATGGAGTCACCCACTGGACCACCAGGGAAGTCCCTCAACATCATTCTCTTGAGATCCATGCTGGTTGTTACAGGTGTTTGTTTTTTTGATTGCTGAGTAGCATTCCATGGGATGGATATGCCTCAGTTTGTTTAATCACTCATGTTGGAGGATATTTGGGTTGTTTCCTATCTTTGGCTATTATGAATACGGCCACTGTGAAGATTCCTCTCCTGGTTTTTGAGTGAACATAAGTTTTCATTTCTCTGGTATAGAAGCCCAAGGGCACAATTGCTGGGTCATATGGTAAGTGCCTGTTTAGGGTTTTTGTTTTTGTTTTAAATTAAGAACCTGCCGTATTCTTTTCCAGAATGGCTGTCCCATTTTATATTCCCACTAGCAATGTATAAGTGATCCAGTTTTTTCCTACATCCTCGCTGCCATCACTATTTTTTGTTTTAGCCATTCTGATCGGTGTGTAGCGATATCTTTGTGGTTTTATGTTGCATCTCTCTACTGGCTAATGATGATGAACATATTTTTATGTGCTTATTTGCCATCTGTATATCCTCTTCAGCAAAATATCTGTTCGAGTCTGTTGCCTATGTTCTAACTGGATTTTTTTTAACTGTTGAGTTTTGAGACTTCTCTGAGTATTCTAGATACGGGTCTGGGTGTTCGAGATAGCCCTTTCTTGGATATTTTCTCCCAGTCTGTAGCTTCTCTTTTTATTCTCTTCACATGGTCTTTTGCAAAGTTTGAAATTGTGATGAGATCCAACTTGCCACTTTTTCCTTTGTGGATTGTGCTTTTGGTGTCAAGTCTAAGGTGGGTTTTGAACTCAGTCCATCCGGGTGTGGAGTCCACCCTCTTAACCACAACACTCCACATAGAGTTGAGCCCTTTTTGGATCTTGTCCTCCTTAGACCCATTCCCTTCCTTCCATCCCTAGAGAATACCATCATCTTGAAGCTGGTGTGAATCTTCCCTTCTTAATTTCTCTTCTTTTAGAGGTGGTTTTTTTTAACAGTGTTTATTGAGCACCTTCTATGTGCCAGGCACTGTGTGAGGATACAGCAGTGGATAAGACAAAACCTGTCTTCATGGGTCTTAGAGGCTAATGGGGATGCCAGATGAATCAAATCGCCCTGCAAATATGTCATTACATGCTGACAGGATTGCCAGGGGAGGTGCAGAAGTGCAAGGAGGGAGTCAGGGAGGCCTCCTTGAGGAAGTGACATGTAAACCCTGAAGGGTGAGGAGGGGTGAGTAGAGGAGAGGAGGGGTATTCCAAGTATTGGGAACAGCATGTACAAAGGCCCTGAGGCAAGAGGATATGGCCCCTCCTAGGAGAGAACAAAGGTCTGTAGGTTGGTGTGCAGAATTCTAGGATGAGGGTGCAGGTCAGGACTGCACAGGGCCAAGGAAGGGCAATACCTGGGCTAGAAGTGACAAACAGGGGATGGAGGTTCAGGGGGGATAAGTGACTCCTCCGAGAGCACACAGGCTGAGAGGTGCTGGGCCCTGGAGTTTGTTTATATAGAGATAACCCATCCCTGCTTTGGAACTGCTCATGGCTTGGAGGAGGTGAGGTCCCTACACACTTGTCTTCAGAGGCTGGAGCTGTGGCTTTAGCTCTGCGGCCAGTGGATCTACCTCCCCACCCCAGGCCACAGCATTCCTCTCTGTTAAATGGGGCATTGCTTCCAAACGCTTCCGGGGCTCCCCTGCCAAGCTGCTGAGGCAGGCCTCCCCCCTGTCTCTGTCTCCATGTCCTGGGGGATGGGGTGGGTGGAGCTGCTGAGTGACAGCAAGACACAACTTCTCAGCTGGCCTTGCCCTTGGCCACAAAGCCACAAGCTCTGGAAATATCCACTCTCCCCACCCCCGCATTCCCCCAACCCCCAGTCTCACGCTTGGGCAGCTTCCCCCTTCCTACTTCTCCATTCCAAAGCGGGGGCAGGGGAGGGCACTTTGTGGAGTAGGGCTGAGGAAGGAGGAAGCCGGGGCGCAGCCTGCAGACGCACACCTTGTCTTCAGGCTGTGGGAGGAGGGGACTTACAGGCCCTGCTTCCTGGCAGCCAGCCCGCAAGAGGGGCTTTGGAAATCCTGCCCACTCCTCCCACCGCCACCTCCTGTCCCACGTGGCTTCCTGCCCGGAATCGTGCCTGGCACTCACCAACGAGGCTTTGTGTTCCCGAGATAAAGAACACGCTCCTCACCCCCAAACTGGTCCCGGGTTGGTCTGTCTTGTCCCGATCTTGGTGGTCTCAGAAGGGATGGTGCCACTTCCCAGCAGGGGAAACCGACGTCTAGAGATGCACAGGTCTGCGGAGCCAGAGGAGGGGTCTGTCTCCCGCTTTGGGGGTGAAGGTGTAGCTGAGAGGTGGTGAGTTGGCAGTGTTAGGGCGCCGTGGGGAGAAAGGAAGTAAAAAGGAATATGACCATTGCCACAAGGAGAGAGGTCAGATTCCAGCCCTCGAGGGGAATTGGATACTATGCAACCCAGAGAGTGTCTTTTGAGTCCTTCTTATGTGCCAACTGGTGTGGGAGGCACTGCATGAATCAGTCATTGTCCCTGACATTTAGGAGATAAGACAAGCATGTAAATCCCCACAAAACAAGAGAACAAGAGACGAAGGTCACAGAGAGGTGCCAACAGGCGGGCAGTGGGGGGTGGCCATCACTGCCTTCCCTGCCACCTTCCAGGCTTCCCGGAGGCTGTGAGCAGAGCCTCAAAGCAAGGGCAGCGGGGCTTTCAGAGACCAGAGGAAGTACGAATTATTTTCTGATTATAATTTCTGATTAAAAAGAAGCACATGCCATTATGTCAGAGAAAGCCCTCCAGTTCTGTGCTTGCTGTATTGTCTACATATCACTTCGTACTTCCCACTGAGAGTCTGTTCCTAGCTGCCCATTACTTTTGTCTGTATCACCCTCCTGAGAGCCCATGAGAGCAGGGCTGGGCTCTGTGTACCTCATTGTATCCCCACTGCCTAGTACATAGTAGGTGCTCAATACACACCTGTTAAATAAGAAGAGAATTTTCTATATAATATGTAAACATTTTATATATATGGAAGGAATAATACAAGAAAAGAATTTTATATATATATGTGACACTTTATGGCATCAGTATCATGCCTATACAAGGTTGTATATGCTGTGTTTTTCCCACGACTTGCATTTCTTTTTGGCTGCACCACTCTGCTAGTGGGATCTGAGTTCCCAGACCAGGGATCAAACCCATGCCCTTGGCAGTGAAAGCACGGAGTCCTAACCACTGAACCACCAGGGAATTCCCTATGACGTGCTTTTTTCTTTTTTTAAAGCACTTTTCCTGTTATTAAATAGTGTTCAAGAACATAATGCCATTTGCAGCTATATATAGCTGGGACTTCCCTGGTGGTCTAAGACTCTGTGCTCCCAATGCAGAGGGCCCGGGTTCGATGCCTGGTCAGGGAACTAGATCCTGCATGCCGCAACTAAAGATCCTGCATGCCGCAACGAAGATCCCACGTGCCACAAGTAAGACCTGGCGCAGCCAAATAAATAAACAGATATTGAAAACAACCCACACAGCTATCTAGTGTTCCATGGCACTGCTCTTACATTATCTGCACTTTATTTCACCCCACCCGTCCTAATTTTTATTTAATTGTATCTGTGGGACTTAAACCAGGAAATAGATAGATAAAGGGATGTAAAGGCTTTCCTGGTGGAAGGATAGGGCAAAGGTAGGATCAGGGGGTGGGCTGGGGGTAATATGAATAAAATCTTGAAGGTGTTGAATTCAGGAATGGGGTCGAGAGGGCCATGCGGCCGGGGAATCCTGGACCCAGTGGTGTGTTGTTAAATTGCCTCTCCAAAACAAATCGTAGTGTTTATTTGCTGATTTCCATGGTGCAAATTCTCCTCCTGTGGTTGATTTCAATTTCCTGATGCGGCATTGCTGAATACGGGGTTGGAAGGGCGTGGGCGCAGCCGGCTCTCAGGGACCAGTAGGCGCAAGCTTCAGCACAGCCCTGTCAGTGCCCAGGCCTGATCCCCACTCCGGTATGAGGAGGCCTCTCCACTCTGTGTCTGTGAGCCCTCCCTGGGCCCCAGGCCCAGCATCTCAGACGAAGGGGGTGGGACTCGTCCTGGGTAGTGAGGCCCATCGGGGTGCAGGAGCCCAATCTTGAGATCTTGCTATCAGATTTCACAGCTGGGATGCAAACCCCCAGATTCCCCCAGCTCAGCAACTTGGAGCCGCACTGGCTCCACTGAAGTGTGGCTGCTCCATCCATCCCTGGAATTTAGGGCTGGGCCTGGTGCTCTGCCCCAGCCACAGAGTCCTTAGGACCCAGCCTCAGAGCTCAGTCACCCAGTGGGGCTCAAGGTCAGGCACAGTAGTGGGATCTGGATGTTCCATTATGGCCGTGACACTTATGAGCACTTGCTGTATGCCAGGCTGTGCTGAACGTTTGACGTTTCATTCATCGCATCTTCACACCCAGCCTATGAGGTGGGCGCTGGTTTTATTCCCAATTTACTGATGAGGAAACTGAGGCACTGAGAGGGTAACTCACTTGCCCAAGAGCATCCAGCTCATACCTGTAGGTGCCAGGATTCAATCCCAGGTTGGCTGAACGCTAAAACCTCTGCTCTTAAATCCTCAGCCCAGTATCTCCTCCCACTTGGCTTTACGAAGCACCTGCTCTGTGCATCCCGTGGGCGGTAGACTGTACAGAGTTGACAAGAAGATGATAGTGGGTTTGTCTTGAAGAGGCTTAGAGGATGGGGAAGGGGAGGCAGCTAACCATTTCTTGAGCACCTACTATGTGCCAGGAAAGATGCCAGGTGCTTTACACAGCCGTCTTGATTAACTCTACAACAATCTCACGAGAAAGGTGAGACCCTTTCCACGTGGCAGCCCAGGCCTGGGCTCTCAGGAGCCTGTCTTCTTCTTTCCCAAATGGCCTCTAGCAGGTCACACTCCTCTGGGCCACATTTCCCCCTCTGGTTCCTTGACAGGAACTGCCCTAGGAGACCTCAAACCCTCTGCCAGTTACAGGTCAAAGCTTCTCAGAACAACAGGAGGTAGCCAGGCCATTTGGAAAGTATGGAGACTGTGGCCACAACTCCAGGCAAATTGCAGGGCCAGACGCTGGATATTGGATAGGTGACAGAGCTAGCTCCCTGGAGGCCTGGCTGGCACAGTCCATAGCCTTTGTAACCCCCCTGGGAGCCTGGGGAGGGGCGTCTGGGAATGTGGCTTCCTGCTCAGCTCCGGAAGTTGGGCCAAGATGGCTGGTGGTGGTTTGGTTGGCATCCCAGGTGGCCCTAGGACAAGGCCCCCAGGTTCCATCAAGGGTCCCTGGGGGCTGGATAGCCTATCTGAGGTCTCTTTTTAAGAAGAAAAGATTTCGCCACAAGCTCCCACCTAGGTGAGTGGGGGCGGGGAGAGGCAGGACACCTGTCTTGAAGTAGCAGTCGCATAACAAGTACCATTTTCCCCTCCTGAGGATCTGGGGTAACTGATAAAGATTATGGGAGGGCTTTAACTACTCCCTCAGGGCTACCACTGCTCTGGAATCAATGGTGCATCACCCCTCATACCCTGTTGAAGGATGTTGCAATACTTCTAAGCCTTGGGGCCAGCCGTGCTAGGCCCATTTCCCAGACAGGGTAACTGAGGCCCAGACTTTGGAAGGACTCACCAGATGGAGGCCAGCCAGGGAAAGAGTTCCAGGGATCTGAATTCCTCACCAGCCTGGCTGGGGTGCTGGGTGGGAAGTCAAGGAGGGAGATGGGGAAGCAGATCACGGGGCTACTCCTGTGGCTGGGCAGGGCCCTTCCGGAATTGCCAGTCTGGGCGTTGACTCCTGAAATCAGTAAGTAGAGCCTTCGCGTTGGTGCCCAGCCCTGGGTTGACCTGACCGGAAAGAGTCCCTTCTGAGAACTCTTAGACAGGTAAACAACAAACTCATGGGGAGAGATAGTGTGTGTGTATCTGTCCGGGACAGGCCTTTCCAGTCACATTATCACATTTAAAACTCGAAAACTGTGCAAACCTGGAGCTGTGGGAGCAGAGAAAAAGGGGAGAAAACCTCTGCCTGGCATGGGAGGACATCCCGGAAGACTTCCTTGGAGAGGTGATATTTGAACTATGCCTTGAAGAACAATAATAATAATAGCAAACACTTTCTGAAAACTTCTTATGTGCCTGTCCGTGTTCTGAGATCTGTATCTGCTTCCTTCATATCTGTTTTATCTCATCTAATTCTCTCAAAACCCTGTGAGCGAGATACTATAATAACATATGAACCGATGAGAAAACCAAACCAGGGCACAGAGAGGTTAAGAGACTTGCCCAAGACCACACAGCTACCAATGGCAGAGTCAGCATTCAAATCCAGAGAGGCAAATCAATGACTGACTGTAAGACCTTCCGAGTGCTATTTAATCCCTCTGAACCTCAGTTTGTGTATCCATACAAGGGGGGGGACTAGTACAATAGTAAGTAATGCATAGAATTATTGTGAGGACGAAGGTGAGCTAATCCTTGTAAAACGCTTAGAACAGTGCCCGGCACACAGTAAGCGTTCAAACAATTGTAGATGACTTTTATCATTGCCGTGGTGATCTTCAAGTCCTCCCCTCCCCCTCCGGCCGCGGCTTCCTCCCCCGCAGTGCCAGCCAGTGACGCGGGATCTGCCACACGCACAGTCTGGGTTTAATTGGAAACTAAAAGAGATGGAAGGGGATGTTCGCGGCCCCTCCCTTGACTCTGAAAAGGACCCCCAGGGAGGGTGTGACTCTCTCTAGCGACGCCTCCCGCCATCTCCGATACTGCTCCGGGATGGGACAACGAGGTCGGACCGAGAAGGCGGCGCCGGGATGGTAGGCAGGGGAGAGCCGGGGAGGTGTGAACGTGCTGGAGGCAGGGCAGGCAGGGGACATACTGTGTCTTCTGAGCCCGATGCCAACTCACTAGGAGCCTGCGGCCACGCCCATCATGGCCGTGGGCGGCTCTCCACCTGGCAGTCCCAGCCTCCAGGCGCCCGGGGCTCCGAGGCCGGTGCGCTCTGGCACGCTTGGCTGGGGTGCCGGCAGAGGGCGCGCGAGGGGGCCCGGGAACTGGCGGGCGGGGTGCCCCGCGGGAGGCGGGATTGCGGGGAGGGCCCTGGGCCGCCCCTCCCGCCCCCTGTCCTCCCCGCCTGCCCACCGGGAGCGCTGGACTAGGAGGCAAGGGCTGGCGGTGTCCCCCGCGCGCTCAGCCGGCTCGGCGCCCAGCTCCTACCTGTAGAGTCTGGCGGGGGCGCCCCCTCCCCGGACACCTATCCTTTCTCCTCCTTCGGAAACCACTCGCTCAGCTACCCGCGTGTCGGACAGGCGGCGCTGGGATCCCGGGACAGGGTGCCAGGCTCGCTGTTTGTGACACGTAGACGCCCTCCCCGCCGCGGTACAGCCTCGGAACCTGGACGTCCTCCTGGCCGGAAAGTTTGGGGCTGGGCGCCATGGCCAAGAGCAGCTCCCTGAATGTCCGTGTCGTGGAGGGCCGGGCGCTGCCCGCCAAGGACGTGTGAGTACCCCCGGGGCCAGTCGGGGATGGGGGGCGTTCCAGGCATGGGATGGGGCGGGGGTCGCTCATTCCGCGTGCCAGGGAAGGTCGGTGAAGTGGGCGGGGGTTCTTGTCTGAGACCGAGTATTGAGGCAGATCCACCTTCATGGGGCGAGAGGCCCCACGCCTATCGCTTCATGGTGGGAGGGGACACCAAGACTTAGCAGATGCCCCGCCCCGCCCCCAGGAAAGGGGTGTCTTTGTTCCTGGGACGTGCTAAAGGGGCTCTTCCAGGGCTTCAGCCCTGGGGATTAGAGGGTCGGATTCTGTCAGGGCTGGGGAGGGGCTTTAGGGGTGGGGGGCTCTCTTTCTTAGTCCAGGCAGATGTTGGAGGTGGGGTTTCTCCAGGCCTGGGTGGGCACCTGTTAAGAGAACCCTGGGGAGGAGCCCCAGAGGGCCTGGGATCCAGGTGGCCCCAGGATTCCTCTGTGTGCATCTGGTATTTAGGTTTGCAGAGTGTCACCAAGTGGCCCACCGGCCAGGCCTGGGGGAAACTGGGGTCCTCTTGACCCAAAACCCTAAGCTCCCCAGCCAGCAGCTCCCAGCCCAATGGGGACCTTCCCTGGATGCTAAGCCGCTTGAAGAGCCAACTTCCCCCTGCAGCCCCCTCCCTAGCCAGGTGTGATGGGGCTGGAGGACCCTCAGGTTCCCCTTAGTACCAGTCCTCGCTGTGCTTCCCTCAGGGCTAAGTCAGCAGTTGCCGAGTCAGCAGAATGGGGGGAGGGGGCCCCCTCCTGCCTGGCCTGGAGCCCAGAAGGGGCTCTAAGGGTGTCAGCACCTGAAACAGGTGTGGGATCCTTGGCAGGACATTGGCTGTATGACCTTGAACCTAGTCCTGTTTGGGTTTGGATTTCCCATCTGGGCAATGAAAACCCTGGACAGGAGTCTCCAAGCCGCATGCAGCTGACGGTGGAGAACCTCTTAGCATTTACCTGCTGGCCAGGTGAGCAGGACCGTGGATTCTGAGCCTTCGCACAGGCTGGGGCTTAGCTGTGCTCTGACTCCCCCAGCTGTGGGCCCCCAGTGAGGAGTATCCTACCTTTGACTTCATGAACATCCCCCCTCCCCAACCCTGCAGCTATGTCAAGGGGGAAGCTGCAGAGAGCAGTTCTAGCTCCCCGCATCCTCATCAGCGACCTCAAGAAAACACGCACCTGGGGAAGGCAGAGAGCTCGCTTGCTGTGCAAATGCAGCATCTGGACGAGCCCCCTGATTCCCCTCTTATGAGATGCCCTCTCAGAGCACCCGACAATTAGTAATTCTGGAACTGTCGAGGCAGTGAGGTCAGGACTGGGGACCTGCCAGCTGCTGACCTGGCCAGCTGCTCCGGCCCCTCCACCAGTCCCGGGTGAGGGCCATGAGGGAGTGACGGATGTTGTCCTTGGACCCGGCCATGGCTCGCAGGGCTCCCTCTGCCTCTTCTGCGGAGGGAGTTGACTCATACCTGGTCCCTGCGTCTCTTGGCCACCCCTCCTCCCCCAAGTTCCCGGGCCAAGGTGAGCTCTGAGGTGGGCCATGCCCCAGAACCAGAGAGGAGAGTGACTAAGCCCCAGTGGGGGATCCAGCCACACTGCCTCAGTTTCCCTGGCTGTTGGTGCCCTTCAGAGGGGCTCCCTCAGAGTGTGCTGGGATCTCCATGCCTGTGGGGACTCTTAGATGGATATGTCCTCTCTTCTCTCTCCTAAGGGAGAGGGCCCAGATTCTTCCTGAAGCCTCACCCGGTTTGAGGGGGTTTGGGCCTGGCTTGGGAGGAGGCCTCAGCTGATAATTTGAGAGTTATTTCTGTCATTAATAATAGCAGCTGTTATGTCTTTGACGGCTTCCTATGGGCCAGGTCCTGTGTTTAACACTTCCAGTAGTCCTATTAGCATTTCCATTTTACGAATGGGCAAACCGAGGCTCAGAGAGGCAAAGTCACTTGCCCAAGGTCACAGAGCTGGGATTTGAACCCTGACTGCCCCCATGCCCCAACCAGACTGGGCAGGCAAAGGCAGATGGGCCTGCTTTCCCATGCTTGAGGTGGGGCAGGAGCTGTGGGAGAGGCCAAGGGTCTAGAGAGATTGAGGGTCTGGAAGGGGCAGCTCCCTTCCGCCACTGTTGCCCCTGCCTGATAGGAGCCTGATAAGGCCCTTGTGCGTCAGAGTCCTGGAGCTGACGTGCTTGGCTCCCATGAGGGACCCAGGGGTCAGGCCGGGTAGACGGGAGGAGGCGTGGCTCCCAGCCCTTTTCTATGGATCCCAGCCCATTTGCCCCACATCTGCTGCTGGGGAAACTGAGGGATTGGAGCCCGCCTAAAAGAAGCTCAGGGAGAGAGGACCCAGAGAGAGAAATGAGATAGAGGGGGTTACCAGCCACGGGCATCCAGGGGGGTGGAGCCCGATGGGAAAACTGAGGCTCGCAGGGTTACTCCGCCCAATGGGTTTGGGATAGATCAGATGGGAAAACTGAGGCCTGGGGCACTATGCAGAAGGGAGGTCAGAGGTAGAACCCAGAGAGGAGTTCAGGGACACAGGACACCAACCAGTCTGAGGTGTGCAGGGATGGAGAGCAGATGGGGAAATGAAGGTACACCCGGCGGAGGGAACTAGAGGAAGGAGTCCACAGAGGGAACCGAGGCCTGGGGAGGGCTCAGCCAGCAGACGAGGTTGGAGCAGCTCCCGGTGCCAGCGGCCCTCTTCCTGGGAATCCCCGAGGCCTTTGTGGATCAGTGACAAACGGAGCTGAGAGAGGGGGCAGAGAGAGGTCGGGGGCTGGGGTGTCAGGGGAGGGGGCCATAGGGACAAGGGATCATGAGCTGGGGTGCAGGCATCGGTGAAGAACATGTGTGCCGAACCCCACAGACCTGGGTTCGAATTCTGACTCTGCGGTGGTGGGAGGAGGTGAGGGTGGGGAAATATAGCTCCTACCCCAGGAAATCAGATTTCGGAAGTTGCAGGTAGCCATGGAGACAGACACTAAATGGAGAGAAACGGAGCAAGATGATTTCACGTGCTCAGAGGGATCGGAGATCAATTTTACACTGTCTACTGTTGGAGGACAGTGGTGATCAAGGACCACCTCTCTGAGGCGGTGATTTTTGGGCTGAGGTTTGAATAATAGGATGGAGCCAGCCATGACAAGATCAGGAACAGAGCGGGTGTCTTAGTTAGGTGGAACAGCAAGTGCAAAGGCCCTGAGGCTGGACTGAGCTTAGTGGAAGACAAAGGAAGCCTGTGCGATGGGAAGGGGGCGGGGGTCGGGGAAAGAGATGAGGGCCCCTGGTCGATAGCTTGGGATGGACTAGTAACTCTTACTATGAAGCGGGGCTGGAACTGGCTTTGGTTGGCCTATGGCTCATGGCTACTCAAGGGGATGCAGCCCATTTCTCCTACCGGTTGAGTTTTGAGGTCTGGGTGCCCTGGTCTGTGCCTGCAGTGAGAGCAGCTGTCCATCCTCGCTGAAGGCTGAGCTATGGCGAGTCCCGTCCCAGGGAAACTCCCAATGGAGAGGGCAATGCTTACCCTGAGGGTGGCGTTCAGGCAGCTGTGGGGAAAGCTCTGGGGTCGCCCATGATGCATCGCACCGTGCAGTAGCTTCTTTAGCTCCTCCAACCGCCCTAGGGGGTATGTGAAAATATTACACCCGACTTACAGAGCAGAGAAACTGAGGCCCACAGAGGGAAGGGGTCTTGCCAGGGTTCCACAGTTAGTAAACTTGGGGCCAGGGATGATTCCCCAGCAGAGCACGTGCTCTGGACCACCGCTTCGGGCTTCCTGCGACCGGGACTCCAAATTTTCTGGCTTCACGTCTCAATGTTCTATTTCTTTGGGTGGAAGCCCAGGGCCCATTCAAGGAGGTCCGCAGTGGGTGGGCTGGACAGCCATGACATCGTCTGCTGGTCCCCAGAGGTCCTGCCTCCACCGAACTTGCTGTGTGACCCTGGGCAAATCCCCTCCCCTCTCTGGGCCTTAGTTGCCCCCATCTGTAAAATGAAGGCAGATTGGGATCCCCACCCAGGGCTGCTCCCCCAAGCCCGCTCCCCAAACCTCCTCCTTCCACAGGTCTGGGAGCAGTGACCCCTACTGCATAGTGAAAGTGGACGACGAAGTGGTGGCCAGGTAAGGAGGGGAGGGCAAAGGGAGCAGGGCCAGGGGACGGGGCTCCATCTTGACCTGGGGAGTCCAGGCACAAGAATTCACGTTGAAAAGAGGACCTGGGGGAGGGCAACATTTACCCCAAGGGGGTACCCGCGGGCCTGATGGTGGGTGCTTTGTACCCTGGCCATGGGCCCAGACAGAGGGGGCGCCGGCTCCCCTCTCCATCTGGTCCCACCAACTGGCCGACATCTTCCCCCTTCCCCCTTGTCCTGATGATGTCCCTGCTGGCGTCCTGGGGCTGACTCAGTGGCGGCCAGATTGTACCTTCCGCAGTGGCCTCCCCGGGGATGGGCATCTCACGCTTGGCTGGGCTGGCTGGTTCCGGGCCTGCTGGGTGCTGTGGGCACCGGGGTGTGTACGTGTGTGTGCGGGGGCGGGGGGCGTGCATGTGCGCCCGGCTGGGCCTGCTTGTGAGTGTGTGTCGGGGTGTCGGAGGGTTGGTGTGAATGCCTGCGACCACTGGTGCGTGTCCCTGGGGGTGTGCAGGCTCAGAGGTTCATGTTGTGTACCAGCGTGGGGGGGTATACGTGTGTGTGCACACGTGGGCTGCCGTGTACATGCACGTGTGCACCAATGCCTGCTTATTTGGGTACACAGGCGCCACTGTGAACACATGTGAGGACGTGAAGATGTTTGGTGTGTGTGAGCGAGTCTCGGGCTGGGGAGACATCGGGCTGTGCTGTGCTGGGCTGGGCTGAAGGACGGCTCTCAGCCCCCGCAGGCCTGAAGGGTGTGGGTGGGCCGGCGGCTGAGGCCTCGGTTCCTATGGAGACAGCAGGATTCAGCATCCTCCTGGCACCAGTTCTGGTCCAGATGGGCCGGGAGCTGGGGGCAGGGAGCCCGTGTGGAGAAGGGTAGCCTGCAGCGCACCAGCCGACCAACCCCCATCATTCTCTCTGTGCTTGTGTTGCCCCTTATCACATGCTGTGACCCCACCCCCAAACCCACAGACTGACTTTCCGTGTGACCCCAGGCTCTCACCCGCTCTGGGCTCTGAGGAGCTTCTCAGCTCGGGGGCTGGGGAGCCTGAGGGGCCTTCCAGCCGGGAAGAGGTCAGGGTAGCGGGAAGAGGGTGTTTGGAGAGAAGAGTCCGTCTGATGGTGGGGCCCTGGGCCGTGTGTGTGTGTCCACGTTCATACTCTTTGCTGGGGAAGGGTGTGTGGAAGGAAGGAGGAAGACAGTGGCAGGTGTGCAGACCAAATTTTGCAACCGTAAATTTTGGTGTGTCTTCACTGGGCAAAGTAGGTTCTTTTTTCCCCATTGTGTAAAGGGAAGTGCATCTGCAGAGGTGTTGGGGTGAAGATGTATGTGTGTCTGTTTCTGGTTTTGTCTTGGTCCCCGACCCTCCCGGGGTTCCCCTTGCTTACTGAGTGCTCTGGCCTCTGCTGACTTCATGGTCTCCTGGCCCCTCACACATCCCTGCCTCCCAACCACCATCTTCTTGTTCCTCAAACTCACCATTCCTGCCTCAGGGCCTTTGCATGTGCTCGTGCTCTTCCAGCCATGCGGAATACTTGTTCTCATCCTTTCTCCCTGCTTTGCCTGGTTAGCTCCTGCAGGAAGCCTTTCCTGACCCCTCCTGTCCTCACCCCAGTGGGCACCACTGAGCTAGCCCATCACAGAACTTCTTTCACTGTGTCACAAGGGCTGACACAAGGGTGTCACTGGAGGGAACACCAGTCTGCTGAGCCAGGCTCTGTGGGGGTGGGGACCTTGGCACCTCTTCCTCTGATTCTCCATAGCCCCCAAGACTTGGCACATAGGTCAGGGTGAGTGTTTATGGAGTGAATGAATGAATGGATGGATGGAATTGTGTGTCTTGTCAGTTACTGTGTGACAGTGTGATTCTGCATGTGTATCTCTGCTGCATATCACCCTCTGTATGTGAGTGTGTGTCTGTGGGTCTATGTGTGTCTCCATGTTCGGGCATTTCTTTTCTCTGTGTCTCTGTGTGAATGTTTCTGTTTTCTCTCTGTGCGTCTGCACGTGTCTATATGTAGAAACACACAGATATGTGTTTCTAGAAAATTTTGAGGATGCATATGTATATCTGTATATGTGTGAATGTGTCTCTTTGTGTCTCTGGCTTCCTTGGTATATCTGTGAATATTTCTGTTTCAGTGTGTATCCCCATGGGAGTGTGTGGTGTGTTTGTGTGTGTGTGTGTGTGTGTGTGTGTGTGTTGAGGTCCCTGGGTGTGTGAGGGTCAGGGTTTGTGTGTGTATTTGTGTGTGTTTCCATGCCTGGATTCTTGAGTGTATGAGTGTGTGTGTTTGTAGCTGTATTTGAGTGTATTTGAGTAGCTCTGGGTGTGTATGTGTCTGGATCCCTGTGTGTGTGTGTGTGTGTCCCCAGGTATCTGCTGCCTGTGTGGCCTGAAGGCCCCCAGCCCCCCATGTCCCCTTTTGCAGGACAGCAACCATCTGGCGAAGCCTGAGCCCCTTCTGGGGGGAGGAGTACACAGTGCACCTGCCCCTGGATTTCCACCATCTGGCCTTCTATGTGCTGGACGAGGATACCGTGGGGTGTGTGTGCTGGGGACCCAAGCCTGGGCATCTGAGGGAAGGCGGGACACCCCAATACACAGTACCCACCCACCCAGCCGTTGATGCCTTGCCTCCACCTCTCCACGGGCGGGGCAGGGGTCGCTAAGTTGGACCCTCATCTGCCTGCCTTTCTGCAGGCACGACGACATCATAGGCAAGATCTCACTGAGCAGGGAGGCCATTACAGCTGACCCCCGAGGTGGGTGAGGGGCACTGGCCCCCAGCCGGGCAGAGGGCAGAGCGGGTGGCAGTTGTAAGGGCGTAGCCAGCAGCACGGGGCAACACAGAGCCTTCAGGGGAAAATTATTTTGGTTGTTGCTTTTGTTTTTCATTTTAATTTAGTTCATGTATTGAGCGGTTAGCTTATTTACATAGGTCAATATTCAGAAGATACAATTAGCCATGAAACTGTCCCTCTTACCCCAGCTACTCCATTCTTTTTTTTTTTTTTTTGGCCACACTGCACGGCATGCCGGATCTTAGTTCCCCAACCAGGGATCCAGCCCACACCCCCTGCAGTGGAAGCGGGGAGTCTTAACCACTGGACTGCCGGGGAAGTCCCCCCAGCTACTCCATTCTCATCCTCAGTGTTGTCAGTTTCTTGTATGTCCTTCTAGGGACGTTTTAAATATATGCAAGCAAGTAACAATAGTAATAGCAGCAAACACTTATATAGTGCTTACTGTATGCTGAACACTTTCTAAGTGCTTTACACGTATCAATTCACTTAATTATCGTGATAACCCTAAGACATAGGTACTCTTGTTATGCCCACTCTATAGGTGAACAAACTGAGGCACAGGGGGTTAAATAACTTGCCCAAGATCACAAAGTTATTAAGTGGGACAGCTGGGATTTGAACAAAGTTGTCTAGTTCCAGAGTCTGTGATCTTAATTTTAATTTATTTATTTATTTTGGCTGTGCTGGGTCTTCGTTTCTGTGCGAGGGCTTTCTCTAATTGTGGCAAGCGGGGGCCACTCTTCATCACGGTGCGCGGGCCTCTCACTATTGTGGCCTATCTTGTTGCGGAGCACAGGCTCCAGACGCGCAGGCTCCAGACGCGCAGGCTCAGCAGTTGTGGCTCACGGGCCTAGTTGCTCCGCGGCATGTGGGATCCTCCCAGACCAGGGCTCGAACCCGTGTCCCCTGCATTAGCAGGCAGATTCTCAACCACTGCGCCACCAGGGAAGACCCAGAGTCTGTGATCTTAACACTATACTGTATGTGTTTTTATTCTCTGCTTATAGGAATGGTAGCCTATTAAACTCATCTGTTCTGTACCCTGTCTTTTTACTTCACCATGTACCTTGGAGATCTTTCCCTAATGGTGTCCCCAGAGCTTCCGCATTCTTTGATCTTCGTATGACTCCGTGGCGCTCCATTGTGCCACCCAGTGCTGGCTGTGCCATCATTTATTTGTCTGGTCCCCTCGTGATGGACACTTGGGTTGTTGACAGTCTTTTCCTAGTTCAAACAATGCTGCAATGACTAGCCTTGTACAAACGTGACTGCACACATATATGCAAGTTACATCAATCAGCTTGATAAATTCCTAGAGGTGGATTTGCTGGATCAAAGCGTACCCACATTAGCACATTTGATAGTTATTATAGTAATTAAGTTATCCTCCCTGGAGGAGTTAACAGTTTAACCCATCCTGTACCCTTGCCAACAAATACCAAACGCTTGGATCTTGTATCTGATAGGTAAAAAAAAGTTGCCTCTTAGCGTGGGTTATTTTGCATTTCTCTATGAGTGAGATTTTTTTTTTATTCAAACAGAAAGTCACAGAAATTATAATCATCCTCATCAGTTCACTCAGTCCCATGTAATTAATTTTTTTTTCATCTTGACCTTTTGTTAGCACTTTTATGAATTCATCAGTTTTCCATTAGAGTTCTGAATCTATGAGTGAGATTGAAGACCTTTTTATATATTCAAGAGTCACTTTATTTCCTTTTGTGTCTATTGTCTATTCACATTGTATGTGTATTGTTCACCCACTGAGTTGTTGCCTTTTCTTACTGATTTGTAGGAGCCCTTTACATGTGAGGAAAATTAACTTTGTCATATTAGCTGCAAAATGTTTTTCTCCCTTGTGGCTTATATTTTGACTTTGATTACAATTTTTTCCAGAAGAAAATTTGTTTCTTTTTTTGTAGTCAACAATTTTTTTTGGCTTTTGATTTTCTGTGATACCTAAAAGGCTTTCTCAACCCTAAGATTAAGACAATTATTTTTTACATGATTCTTTCAAGCAACAATTTGTTTCCATTTTTTTTTTTTTGCAGTTAAGTCTTTCATCTATTTGGAATTTACCCAGATACAAAGTATGGGGTAGGGATTAAACTTTTTACTATTTTTTGTCTAGATGACTACTACTTGTCTTGACACCATTTATTGAATAATATAATAATATATTTTTTCATTAGTGAGCGTTAGTTGACAGCCTATGTGCCAATCATCATAATCATCACTCCTATTTAATGAGGGCTTATTATGTGCCAGGCACAATGCTAAGTACTTTACATTTAGTCCTCACAACACCAAATGAAGTATGCACCAGAATGATCTCAAATTCACAGCTGATGGGAAGTGAGGCTTGGAGAGGTGGGGTGACTTGTCCCTCCTAGATGTTGCAGAGGTGGGAATTGACACCAGTCTGTGCCTGCCTCGTAAGTCTGTGTTCTTAACCTGTCCACTGAGCTGTCCCCAGTGTGCCTCAAACATCCACCCAAGGGGGTGGAATTAAATTAATGACATATAAGGCTTAACTTCAAGGAACTTATGGACAGATAGAAAAATAAAACACATTTACCCAGAACAGGGAGGAAGAAAAAATCGAAACTGTCTTGTGTCTGTGGGTGCCTTTTATTTTTTAAAACGACTGCAATGTGGGGTGGAGGTATGTGAGGCATCACTGGCATGATAGAGGGCAGTGAGGGCTAGTGTGGTCAAGGAAGGCTTCCTGGAGGAAGGGGAATGAGTTAGTTCTTAAAGATGCTTTGGCAAAGATGCTAAGGCACATCTCCATGGATCCTCTTCTAATGTCAGGTGTAAGCCAGGCCAGATGGAATACTCGATGGGGGTTGATTGGGGAGGAGGCCAGAGTCTGGACTTTCTTCTAGAGACACTAGGGAGTCATCGATGGTCCCTGAGTAAGACAGTGAAGAGATTGGAGCCATAATATCAGAGGATGCACTGACAGAAGAGATTAGATACATTTTCAGAAGGTTTCTGTGCTGCTGTGTGGATATTGGATCACAGTGGGACAGGAGTAGATGTGGGAGATCAATTAGGTATCTGTTGCAATAATCAAGTGAGAAAAACTGATGGCATCCTGGACTTGGGGGTAGCGGTGGAGCTAGAGAGGTGAGATGCAACTTACACTTCCAGCAGCATGAGGGAACTAGATCCTCAGAAGGGCCCTCCTGCCACATAACAGTGAGATCCGGAATTACATGCAATTCCTAATACATTGTTGGAAGGATGTAAAGAAGGAAAAAACCCTCAGCGTTCCTCCCCCCACCTCCTGCAAATCATGAGCTAAAACCTAACGGGGAGTGGTGAGCAACAAGAAGGGAAATCAGGAAGGATTTCCCTGAAAGTAAATGTCAATATCAAACGCACAGTCAACAAACAGACTGAATCTTAGGCTAGGGGGAAGGCAGATATTACTGAATCTGAGAATTCCCCATTAGATTGAGACCCTTAAAAGTTTCCAGAATAAGCAACCACCACTGCCCTCCAGGGATAAGCATCTTCACGTTGAATTTCCCACAGAGTGAGCTCCAACAAGCATGGCTTCACAATCAAAGAACACCACACACTCAAGGAAGTGTGCCATGCCACCATGAGCGAGAGTCAGCAGAGACAATGGCCCTCAGATCTAGACCCATAAAGACTTTAGATTTTGTATTTATGATTATAGAAATTTAAAAAATTCAATAAATTAATCACCAGAAAGGGCCAGCAATAACCATGATAAATTAAAGCAATACCTTAAAAAAATAGACTGACTTGGAAAAGAACCAAATCAAACTTGTAGAGATAAAAAGTACAGTTGTTGACACTGAAAACTGAGTGGCTGAGTTCAACAGCAGATCGTTCATTCAGAAAGAAATTATTTAAACCTTAGCGCAGAGAAATGAGAAGGAAAGTCTAAAAGAGAAGTTGAAGGCATAGAAAATAACTGAGAAGGTCTAACATTCATTTAATTGGAGTCCTAGAAGCAGAAGATAGAAAAAGCTGGGGAGAGGAAATGATAAAAAAAAATTGACCACCTGGAATTTTCCAAAACTCAAGGAAGGGCATGAGTCCATAAGCAGGAGAAGCACAACCTGTACTAAGCAGGATAAAAAAAAAAAAAAAAAAATCCTTACCTAGACACATTGTGGGGAAACTGCAGCAAACATCAAAGCCGTAGTCCTTAAACTTGGAAAAGATAGACTATTCACACAAGATCAAGTATTAGGCTGAAATGACTTCCCAATAACTACAATCAAAGCTGGAAGTCAGTGAACAATATCTCTAAAGTGTTGAGAGAAATGAGGGAGAGGGAGAAGGAGAGAGGGAGAGGTTAAGACTGAGACTAAGATTGACTTGATTGATTCAAGCAGAGAGCCTGAATGAAGGCTCAGAGATAGGAATGTCCAAGTTTTTTTTTGTTTTTTGTTTTTTTCCGTGGTACACCGGCCTCTCACTGTTGCAGCCTCTCCCGTTGCGGAGCACAGGCTCCGGATGCACAGGCTCTGGACGCGCAGGCTCAGCGGCCATGGCTCGCGGGCCTAGCCACTCCGCGGCATGTGGGATCTTCCCGGACCGGGGCACGAACCCGTGTTCCCTGCATCGGCAGGCAGACTCTCAACCACTGCGCCACCAGGGAAGCCCCCAAGGTTTTTATTGAGGGGGGAGTATATTGGGACTAAATGATGCGGGGCTTTATGTATCAGGATGAAGAGTGTGATAGTACATGGTTAGGGGCATTGGCCCTAGAACTATACTGCCTGTGTTTAAATCCTAGCTCTGCTGTTTACTAGCTGTGGGATCATGGGCAAAGCTCCTTCCTCGCTGTGCCTCATTTTCCTCATCTGGAAGTAGGGATAATTACAGTACCTACAACAGAAAGCTAACATGAGAGGTCCAAGACTCAATACCTTTTTAATGTTAATTGAATTTTTAAGTTAATGCACTGTCTAGACCACGGTAGGTGCTTAATGAATGTTAGTGCCTGCGCCCTCCAGGAATTGATAACTGGATCAACCTGAGCCATGTGGACCCTGATGCAGAGGTGCAGGGTGAGATCTGCCTGGCCGTGCAGATGCTGGAGGATGTGAGGGGCCGTTGTCTTCGCTGTCACGTGCTCCAGGCCAGGTATGGTCATGATGGGGGATTGGATGGGAGGATGGTCTGGGATTGAGCAGAAATCCACTGGGTCCTCCTGCCTTGAGACCACCTCTCTCCTGGCACACTTCTGGGCTCACAACCAGGATCCTTGGCAGGCAAACGGTCCAAGCTCACCAGGTTGCAAATTTCTTGGGTTAAAGCACAAACAAAATCTTTGTTGGGGCCCCAGTGACTAGCAACCAAAGGCCAGATACTCAGGATGACCAGACAGATGAGTGTGGAGGTGTATTAATCAAATTGTAAGTGATAGACACCCAGTTCATACTGGCTTAAGCAGATTGGCTTGTATGAATGGCATGTAGCTTCAGGCATGGCTGGATCCAGGTGCTCCAACAGTGACATCAGGACTCTGTAGAAATAGATTCCTTGGATGTCTTTTGTATTAACTTCATCCTCAGACAGTCTCTCCCCCAGGTAGGGGCAAAGATGACCCCAGAAGCCCCAGACTGGCATGCTATCAACTTGGCAGCTCCAATGGAGAAAGAACTTCTGTCTTTCACCATTTCCAACCAATATCCTGGGACTAATTCTTATTGACCCAATCTGGGGTACATGCCTATCACTAAACCAATTACACTGACTCTGACTGGTCAGGCCTGAGTTCCAAGCCCATTCCTGCAGTGGAAGGAGGGATCAACTCACATAAGTCATGTGGACTGGGAGAGAGGGAGGGATAGGTCCTGTCCCAAAGAAACATAAGAAGGAAGACGGATGCAGGACTAGTAAAACCCACAGATGAACCTCCAGGGGCAGCAGCTTCTGGGATATTCATCTTCTTGCCTATTTATCACTCCTCTCTGTTTCTCAGCTCCCCCATTCCTCTATTTCCTTAAATACTTCCACTCCTCTTTTCCCTCCCATCTCCTATCTTGTTTTCTGCCTTTTATTTCAACACCTTACTCCCTCGACCCTTACTTTTAGGCCAGTCCTTGCCCAGGTTGGGCTGGATCTCTGTTTCTAGTTTGCTCTGTGACCTTAAAGCCCTATCTTGCCCTCTCTGTGCCTCTCCTACAACCTCCAGATTTCTGTCCCCAGCTGGGGCTCCCTGGAGTCTGGATGAAGTAGCAGGCAGGCATAGGACAAACAAAAGGACTCAGTATGGGGCAGGGACACCTCATCTGCTGTGTGCCTATGACCTCCTCCCCAGCCACAAAGCTGTGCAGGATCCTTGCAAGCAGGAGAGGGACTGATTGCAGTCGCTTAGCAACTAGGCTGGCTCCTAGGAAACCAAAGAAGGCTTTGGATGCCGAGCAGGGGTGGGAGAGGAGCAGCGGGAGGAAACAAGCAGCCCCTGGGTGTGTGTGTGTGGGAATGTCCCTGGATTTGGGGGACCTTGGGAAGGAGGGGTGGGAGAGGCTGACTGGGGTGAGCCTTTGAGTTGTCATGGCAACCAGAGGCAGGCGGTCCCTGCTTCATGCCTTTTCTTCGTCCTAGGCACAGTGTGGGCATGAGTGTTTGTTGAGTGAATGAGTGAGCTGAGCACTTACCACCTGCCGGCTGCTATGCTGAGCCCTTTACACATATTGTCACATTTAACCCTTGGCCCTGTGACGTTGGTCTGTTATTACTCCGATTTTCCAGATGAAGAAACTGAGGCTCAGGGAGGTGAAGTAAATTTTCCCAGTGTCACCCAGCCAGTGAATGGGAGAGTCAGGTTTTGAACCCTGGCATCTGGCATCTGGTCTCCCATCCAGGGGCTCCAGGGAAACTGAGGCTCCCTTCCCCCTCCTCACTGCACCTTCACCTGCTGCTTTGTGATGTTCAACTTGACCTTTCGGTGCCTCAGTTTCCTTCCCTAGAAAATAGGGGCGTAGTAGTGTGTCCTCGTAGGGTAGCATTAGTCAATAGGGAGATACAAGGGGCATAGTAGTGTGTCCTCGTAGGGTAGCATTAGTCAATAGGAAGATACTAGGGGCATAGTAGTGTGTCCTCATAGGGTAGCATTAGTCAATAGGGAGATACTAGGGGCATAGTAGTGTGTCCTCGTAGGGTAGCATTAGTCAATAGGAAGATACTAGGGGCATAGTAGTGTGTCCTCGTAGGGTAGCATTAGTCAATAGGGAGATACTAGGGGCATAGTAGTGTGTCCTCGTAGGGTAGCATTAGTCAATAGGAAGATACTGGGCTTGGATGGCTCTGGTGAGGGATGCTCCTCACTGGATCCCTACAATGGGGTAGTTCGTTGCCTTGGAAACCAGCAGCCTTTGAATGGTCTACCCTGAAGCCCCTTTCCAAGGTCCAGCTTGGGTCTTGCTCCTCAAGGGTCCTGTGACCCCCCCCCCAACCCCTTACTTCATCTGTCCCCAGGGACCTGGCCCCTCGAGACATCTCCGGCACATCTGACCCATTTGCACGTGTGTTTTGGGGCAGCCAGAGCTTGGAGACTTCGGTAAGTGGTGTAGCGGAGCTGGGAGAGTGGGGCATCAGGTGACCTTGGGAAAGCCACTTAACCTCTCTGAAGCTCAGTTTTACCATCTGTAAAATGGGGACAGTGGTCGCATTAGCTCTCTCTCTCACTCCCTCCTTTCCCAGACCATCAAGAAGACTCGCTTCCCACACTGGGATGAGGTGCTGGAGCTGCGGGAGATGCCAGGTCCCCCATCCCCGCTGCGGGTGGAGCTCTGGGACTGGGACATGGTTGGCAAGAATGACTTCTTGGGCATGGTGAGCACGCCCCCCCCCAACACCCCCCTCCCCTGACACCCTCCATGGCTTCCCATTGCCTCCAGTGGGGAAGGGGGAGATGGACTGGGCATCTTCGGGCTTGCTTGGAAGGGTAGATGTGAAGGCTGCCTCATCAGGTCCCCTGGCCAGGCCTGGGTGATGGAGTGCCATTGTTCCATTGGTGCAGGAACCTGTCCAAGGTCACAGGGTGGGCCCAGATTCTTATTCTGGGATGAGAGTACCCAGGATGACTGTGTGCTAGCCCTGTGCTAAGTGCTTCTCCAGCATCACCTCATTGGTCATCATCACCTGATGGCCACTGTTAAGAGGCTAGGACCATTGTTGTCCCCGTTTTACAGATGGGAAAATGAAGGTTCAGAGAGGTTAAGTGGCTTTCCCAAGGTCATATGATTAAGAAATGGCAGAGTCAAGATTTGAGTTCAGGTCTCTCTGATTCCAGAATCTAAGACTAACTCTTACTCCTGGAAGCACTGGGCTCAAGGTCTTTCTCTTGGAACCTCAGTCTCCCCATCTGTAAAATGCGTGATTTTTCTTGCCTCTCAGTAGTAGTGGATGTATACTCAGACTTGACAGTTTTTGGGTTTTTTTCAGCCGCACTGCGTAATCAGGGGTTGAACCTGGGCTGCGGCAGTGAAAACACTAAATCCTAACCACTAGGCCACCAGGGAACTCCAAAGGCTGACAGTTTTTAAAAGGAGGCAATATTAGAGCAAATAAGAGGAAGACTTGGTTATGCACTCCTGGTGGGACTATAAAATGGTGCAGCGGCTTTGGAAAATGGTCTGGCAATTCCTCAAATGATTAAAGATAGAGTTACCACATGACCCAGCAGTTCTACTCCTAGGTGTGTACCAAAGAGAAATGAAAATTTATATCCACACCAAATAGGTTACATTAATGTTCATAGCAGCATCGTTCATAATAACCAAAAGTAGAAACAGCCCAAATGTCTATCAACAGATGAACGAATAAACAAAATGTAGTATATCTACACAATGGAATATTATTCAGCCATAAAAAGGAACAAAGTACTGACACATGCTACAACGTGGATGAACTTTGAAAACACAATGCTAAGTGAAAGAAGTCAGTCCCAAACCTCCCACATCTTATATGATTTAATTTATATGAGATGTCTAATACGAGCGAATCTATAAAGACATAAAGTAGATAAGTCGTTGCCAGGGGCTGGGGGATGGGGAGTGATTGCTAATGGGTATAGGCCTTTTTTTGGTGGGGGAACTGATAGAAAGCGGACTGAAATTAGTGGTGATGGTCACACAACTCTGTGAATATACTAAAAACCACTGAATTACACGCTTTAAATCAGTGAATTGTATGGGATGTGAATTATATCTCCGTAAAGTTGTTATTTAAAAAGAGAGGGAGGTGGGGCTTGCGGGCCTTCTGGACTGTCTTTATTATTTATTTAGTTACCTTTGGCCGCGCCACTGGACCACCAGGGAATTCCCTTTATGCCTTTTGATAGATGCAAGTTTCGTCCCTAAACAGAGCTGAAAATACACTCAGTCCAGACATGCTGTCTCTAGCAGCTGTGTAACCTCGGGCAAGTCACTCCACTTCTCTGAACCTCAGTTTCCTCAACTGTAAATTAAGTGTCCCCTGGAGGCCCTCAGGATACGGTATGGGAGGAGGAGGTAGCCCTTGGCGGGCTTTGCCGCCCCTCCTTGGGTGGGCAGCCCGACCTCTTCTTCCAGGGCTGGGTGGGGCAGAGCTCTGCTGAGGGTCTGTGTGTCCCCCCCCACAGGTGGAGTTCCCCCCGCAGGTCCTACAGCAGAATCCGCCCAATGGCTGGTTCCACCTCCTGCCCTTTCCCAGAGCGGAGGAGGATTCTGGGTAAACGTGGGTGCAGAGGGAGGAGGCTGGGCTGGAACCATGTTGGGTACCACCTTCAGCTTGTATTATTACAGTATTTATACCGGTTGATATCTGTTCACACCTGTTTATACTGGCCACACCTGCCCACACCTGTCCACACCTGTCTTGTTTTACAAATATCTATGCTCTTTACCTGTACTCACACCTGACTATCTTGGCTCACCGCGCTGGCCCATACATACTTACGTTCCTTCACCTGTGATCTGGCCCTGGCCAGGGGGAGCCTGGGTGCTCTTCGGCTGAAGGTGCGCCTGACCGAGGACCGCGTCCTGCCCTCCCAGTACTACCAGCCACTCAGGGAGTTGCTCATGGAGTCTGTGCTGGGGCCAGCAGAGGTGGGTGCATCACTGCGGGTGGGCAGGGATCTGGATCATGGCCTCCCCTTGCTTCAGGGATGTCTAGCTGGGCTTTTCTGCTTTGGGGTCCCAGGGCCCCAGGCCACCTCTCCTGCCTCCTGTCCTTGTGCAGGAAGATGCTGCCAGCCCCCTGGCTGTCCTGGAGGAGCTGACCTCGGGGGACTGCCGCCAGGAGCTTGCCACCAAGCTGGTGAAGCTCTTTCTTGGCCAGGGCCTGGCTGGGCCCTTTCTGGACTATCTCACCCGGCGTGAGGTGGCACGGACCAGTGAGTTGCCTGCATGACCCTCATGCATCACTCCCCAAGGATGAGTCTGCAGCGCGTCTCTGGGAGAGAAATGGGGGGGCCTCAGGCAGAGGGCAGGGGCTGCTGTGTCTGTATGTGTCGGAGGTGGCACGGGCTGTGCACTCCCAGTCAGCTGGGAGCATGGTCCTGGGTTCAGGCCCTGGTTTTGCTACTCATGAGCTGTGTGACCCTAGGCAGCTCACTTAACCACTCTGGGCCTTTGTACTGTGAACGGAGTTGACGTTGCAAATCTCCTCAATTCCTGAGGCTGGAAGAATCATGACCCCCACCTTGGGTGGGTGGGGTGAGGTGGATTCAGCCACCCAAATCCCAGCAAACACTTCCCTCTGTCCTCCCAGCTGACCCCAACACCCTCTTCCGTTCTAACTCCCTGGCATCCAAGTCAATGGAACAGTTTCTGAAGGTGAGTTGGTGAAGGCCTAGGGGGGCCCGACAGCAGCTTCCTCAAGGGAACTCCCTTCCCAGTGCTTACTCGGACCCCAGAGCTTGGCCAGCCTCAGGTAGCACTGGGTGACTGAGCTGCGGTGCTGGTGGCTGGTGGCTGGCCTAGCCCTGAGTCGCACCCCAACCCCAGCCCTTGGGCAGGCCCCCGCCTCGCTCTGAACCTCTCCCTGCGTGGTCCCCCTGACCCTCGCTCACGGGCACACCCTGGCCTCGCCCTCAGCCCCGCCCCGTGTGGTGCCCCCCTGCCCCCAGCTCGTGGGCATGCCCTACCTGCACGAGGTCCTGAGGCCAGTGATTAACCGCGTCTTCGAGGAGAAGAAGTACATGGAGCTGGACCCGTGCAAGATGGACCTGGGCCGCACCAGGTGAGCCAAGCCTGAGGGGTGAACCGTCCACGGGCCCCTTGTCTGCCTGCAGCCTTGTCAGGCCGGGTCTCTGCCGACTGCCCCCCACCCCTCCCTCCAGCACGACTGCTCAGGAGCCCCGCATTCTACCTCAAAGCCTCCCCTGCAAGCGCCCAGCCCCTCAGACGGTGTCATGCAGTGGTTATGGGCAGGACTCTGAGACATGAGCTCCCGGGGTCCAAATCCCAGCTCTGCCACACCTGCTGGGCAAGTTACTTAAACCCCCGTGAATATCTACCTGATGGATTGTCATGAGAATTAACTGAGTTATATACACAAAGCCCAGCATTAACTAATACTCCATAAGTACTAGTTATTTCTATTATCGTGGTGGTGGTGGCTGAGGCCCTTGGGGGAGGGCCCCGCGTGGGTCTGCGAGCAGAGGTGGCATCCTGCAGCGCTCGATGACATGGGGTTAGGGAGCAGGGCAGTGACGGGGTCAGGGGAGTCAGTTCATGCCTCCCTGGGCTCCTCCTTTCTTTTTTTGTTTTGGCCGTGCCGTGCAGCATACGGGATCTTAGTTCCCTGACCAGGGATCGAACCAGCGCCCCCTGCAGTGCAAGTGCAGAGTCTTAACCAGTGGACCGCCAGGGAAGCCCATGGGCTCCTCCTTTATTGCCAGGACTTTCCTCCTCCAGCTAGGGTGGGCGGGCTTGTTCCTGCCAAGCCATCCGAGCCGGTTGCTGGGCAGTCCATTGGGGACCATGGTGGAGGCAGGAGAGGGTCTTTCCTTCACTTTGGGCCTTGCCCAACAAGTGCTGCCCTCACCTTCCGACCACCCCGGAGGCAGGTATTAGGACCCTTTTCACAGATGAGGAAACTGAGGCTCAGAGAGGGGAGGTCACCTGCCTAAGCTTGCACAGTTGGGAAGTTGCAAAGTGGGGATTTGAATCCAGGCCCTGAGCAGAAGGGCAGAGTCCATCTGTGAAACCCCTAGGCCAGGGCTTTTCCCAGCACCCCTGGCAAGGATGGTGGGAGTCAGTGGGCGCCCGCAGGGAGCTGGAGCATCCAGGAAACTGGGCAGACTCTGGAACCGGCAGTCTTGAGTTATAATCTCTGTTCTGCCACCTATTTGCAAGGGGACCTCTCTGAGCCTCAGTTTCCTCATCTGTTAAATGGGAACAATCAGCCTACTTAATCTAACATTGGGTTGCCATTAGGATTAAATGATTCAATGCCAGAGACAATTAGTTCAGGGCTTAGCTTGTTGGGTCCAGGGCACAGTGGGGCTGAGAACCCCCAGTCTGGCTTCCATGGAATTCACAATCTGAGGGTAGACAAGACAGACCCTAAACCTGCATGGGGACAGGAAGGAAGGGAGCAAGATCATTGCAGGTAGAAAAGTGCTATTCCATCGTCTATTCAACGAAACAATTGTTAAGCACCTACTATGTGCCAGGCACTGGGCTGAAAGCTGAGTTCGTAGCAGGGAGAAAATGGACACAAGTCCCTCTTCTCGGGGGAGACAGATAATAAACTAAAGAAGAAGGTTATTGCAGGCGATCAGTGGAAAGGAGGGAGATAAAGTGAGGGAGGGTCCTGGCAAGAGCCAGGAGCAGGGGAGGGGCTTGCGATATTCCGTAGGGTGTCACAGGGACAGCCTCCCAGAGAAGGGGACATGGAAGCAAAGACTTGGAGGAGTTGAGGGAGGGAGTCGTGCACAGATCTGCTGGAAGAGTGTTCCAGGCAAGGGGAACCGCAAGTGCAAAGGCCCTGGGGCAGGAGTGTGTGTCTGGCAGGTCCATGCTGAAAATGCACTGAACCAGGGTCCGTGATGATGAGCAGTGGGGGAAGGATGGCCTCTTTGAGGAGGTGATTCCCAGCAGGGGGATCAGCAGGTACAAAGGCCCCAAGACAGAAATAAGCTCCATGTGTTGAAGCAGCTGCAGTGGATGGTAGGAGGGGAGGCCATGGAGATGGGATGGGAAGGTGGGTGCTCTCTGAGCTCAGTTGGGGCCCATGGAGGGTTTTGAGCAGGCAGATGCCAGGCTCTGAGGCGGAGCCCTCCACTTGCTCCCCCAGGAGAATCTCCTTCAAGGGTGCGCCCTCCGAGGAGCACGTGCGGGAGGCCAGCCTGGGACTGCTGACGGGCTACCTGGAGCCCATCGTGGATACCATTGTGGGCTCCGTGGGGCGCTGCCCGCCCGCCATCCGTCTCGCCTTCAAGCAGCTGCGCCAGTGCGTGGAGGAGCGCTTTCCCCAGGCAGAGCACAAGGTGGGCCAGGCACTCCCATTGGGCAGATGGGGAGACTGAGGCTGGGGAGGGGCAGTAGCTTGTCCAGGGTCACAGGGAGAGGAAGGGCAGGGGCGGGACAAAACCTGAGCTGCCTACGCTGAAGTGCTGTGTGTCTTGGCAGAAGTGGGGACAGTGTTCTGATAGGATCTGGGACCCAGGGGTGATGATGATGATGATGATGATGATGATGATGATGATGATAGCAGTTAACACTATATATAGCCCTTTCTAGGAGTCAGACCTTGTTTTACATATTTATTACCTCGTCTAGTCTTCGCTTCCACCCTACGAGCCGGGTGCCAGTATTATTCCATTTTACAGAGGAGGAAACTGAGGCCCAGAGAGGTTAAGTTACACAGCTAGGAGGGGGTAGTGATGGGATAGGCACCCACCCAGGCAGACTCCTGAACCTGTGCTCATAACCACCAAATGATACAGTCTGGCGCAAAGCAAGTGCTTCTTAAATTCCAGCTATTAGGGAGACAGAGAGACAGAGAGACAGAGATGGCTGGCACACAGTACTCAGTAGCAGACACCTAAAATAAAGTCTAAAAAGAAATCCCTGCACATGCTAGTGCTTTTCTAATACTGATACAAAATTGAACTCTAGGTGCTGTAGGGTTCAGGCAGGTGAGGTAAATGAACAGAGCAGTCAAGGTGTTGTACAGTAGGGAGTGGTAGGGACTGTGGCAAACTGGAGCTCCCACAGCTTGTCTTAAAGGGGCAGATCCAGACAATCAATTATTGCCATGTAGGAATGGGGACCCAATATTGCCTGATCTTCAGAGTTTTTTTGTTTTTTAATCCAACAGTCTGGATTTTATGTGTGGAATCTTATTTTTTTAATTTTGGCACTAGTTTACCTAACAACAATAACACAACAATAATACTTTGAGCCAATCATTACACGTTTGCAGCTGGACTGGCCTGTGGGTTGCCAGTTTGAGACCCCCAGGTTTAATGCTCAGCATGCCTTCCGAGGTGGCAGTCACGGTCCTTGCTTACAAATGACACCGAGTGAGGCTAGGTCTTACACAGCACTGACATAATACAAATGCAGACTGGGGTTCGCTTTGCAGAAAGGTCTAGGACCCGCTAAATGTTGGAGATGTAATGGCCCAACCCCTAGAGCCTGGGTTAAGAGGTCCTGATTTATGCCACACCTCTCCCCACTTACAGATGGGGAAACCGAGGCCCAGAGAGGTGAGGCACCTTGGCCAAGAGTCGTGGACTCAAGGCTAGGCCTCCAGACTCGCAGTGGGAACCTCTTCCTTCTTCCCTCATCCCCACCTGAGGATTGAGCTCTGGGCCTCCAAACTGGGACATGGGTGATTTACCCCACAGCTGCAGGGCTCTTGCCTGGGTTGCCAGTGGAGGTGCTAAGTGGGACACAGCCAAGGCAGGGAGGAAGGGAGGGAAGCGGGAGGCCAGCGCCCCAGACAGCCTGGCCCTTGTGGGAGGAACCAAGATCAATGACACCCAAGTGTCCCCCAGTTTTCAGCCTCCATGGTAGGCAGAGGCCACGGGCAGGGAGCAGGGACTTCCTCAGGCCCACGAGGATGGGTGGGGTCGCAGGAACCCAAGGGAGCCCCTTTCTTTGCCGCTCTGATACTTGTTCCTCCTTCTTAAGAAAGGAGGAAGTTGATGAGCTGATATCAAAGGCTAAAATTACCCTGGAACATGGTGGGCTGTGGGGGCAGCCTTGGGGGCAGTTCAGGGTTCCAGATGAGTGGGACCTCCACCCTCACCTCTGGGCAGCTCCAGGTGCCCAGCTCCTGTCAGGGCTCACTGTCAACTCAGAGGTGCCCCCGGGAAGTTGGCACACACCCAGAGAGGGTATTGTCTTATGTGTGAATACAACCCCTAAATAAACACTGCAGCACATTCTCGGGCTAAATATAGCTTGGTGAGTGTGAGGGGTAGGTGAGGAGCCCCCTGGGGGGAGCTTGCACCCAGGATAGAGAGACACCTTCTCCCCAAGTCCCCTCTGCTGGAGCTGGGGGCACCAGCCTTACGTGCATGCAGGTGGGCCAGGCCTGGGTCTCACACAGAGGGGCGCCATGCTTTACAGTTTGCAGGGGGCAGAGGCTGGCAAGGGAGCCAGCTGAACTGGGTTCACCACTGAGCCTCAGTTTCCTCATCTGGAAAACAGAGATAATAGTATCTACCCCCATGGGATTGCTTTAGGAGTAAAGGTGACAGTTCAGGCTTAGTTTTTGACACTCCGTAGCTAGTGTTGAATGCAGGAGAGTGTGGTGAAGAGCAGAGTTCAAATCCTGCCTGGGTTCAAATCCTGGCTCTGCCACTTATAGCTGTGTGGCCTTGGGCAAGTCACCTGACACCTCTGAGCCTCTGGTTCCTCAGCTGTAAACTGGGAATAATGATGATGCCTCTTTCATAGGGCTGTGCCCGTAGCACAGTGCTTGGCACAAAGCAGACTCTGAGGCTGTTTGGCTAATTCTGATCGTGCAGGATTGGTATTATTACTCCATTTTCCACGTGGGGAAACTGAGGCCCAGAGAGGAAAAGCCTCCTCGGCAGACCAGGATGGCCTCCTGACCTGTCTCCCATTCTACTTCCCCTTGTACCACCAATCTTTAGTCCTTGCTGCCTCAGTTTCCCCAGCTGAGAAGTGGATTTGAGGGGCCCCTCTCACCTGCCGCTCCTCTCCGCAGGATGTGAAGAACCTGGCCATAAGTGGCTTTCTCTTCCTGCGATTCTTCGCTCCTGCCATCCTCACCCCGAAGCTGTTTGACCTTCGGGACCAGCACGCAGATCCCCAGACCAGACGCTCACTGCTGCTGCTTGCCAAGGTGCCGGCAGTGGAGCCCCCCCATCTCGGGTGCCCTTAGCCAGTGAGAAGCATGGGAGGAACAGAGTGGAGGCCGGACCCATGGAAGACCCAAATGAGGCCCAGAGAAACCTCTGTTTGAAACGGCACCATTAGCTTTCCATCCTGAATGTGAAAGCATTCATTTCTCTTTCTAATTCCCTCTTTGGAACAAAACCCCTACCCTTCCAGGGGGAAAGCGGGAAGCAGGCTAGCAGTCATTTATGCCTTAGTATGAATTAGACCATCCTTTGCAAAGGGGCCACATTCTGAGGTTCTGATGGTCTCGAGTATGCATGATGGCATCAAGCAGTCCTGAATGGGGTTATCTGGGTTCAGGAGGGGACAAAATAAAAGCACTGGGGATACATATCTGTGCACAGAGAGGGACAGATATCGTCTAAAGCAGGTGCTGCTAGGAGTTTTCTCCTTTTATTGAGCACTGATTTGGGAGCCAGGACTCTGGGGCTCTGTTCTGGATCTACAGAGGGCCTTCCTCACTGCAGTGACCTTGGTGCTGGCATCCCCTGCTTCTTTGCTCCAGGCTGTGCAGAGCATTGGAAACCTGGGCCAGCAGCTGGGCCAGGGCAAGGAGCTGTGGATGGCTCCCCTACACCCCTTCCTGCTGCAGAGTATTTCACGTGTGAGAGACTTCCTGGACCAGCTGGTGGATGTGGATGGGAAGGAGGGTGAGTTCCTGTGGCCCTGCCACAGCCAGCTTGTCATTCCACTGGACCCTCGGGACCTGCCCTTCTACCACCCCTCCCCCACCCCTCGCACTGAGACCGTGGACCTGTGGGTCAGCTAGTCAGTCAACAAACATTTCCTGGCACATACCGTGCTAGGTCCCACAGACGAACAGACTCAGGCCCTCCAGACCATTCCAGCCCGTGTGGAGATGTGAGTGGGAATCGTGGCATGGTACTCATGCAATTGACAAATATCTATTAAGGGCCTACTTTGTAATAGCCACTGTTCCAGGTGCTGGGGAAACAGCAGTGGACGAAACAGAAGAAAGTCCTGCTCTCGTGGAAGTTTTATTCTAGTGGAGACAACAAGCTGTGAACAAGATTAATTACCAAATCACATGTGTTAATGGAGTGATAAGTGCTTAGGAGAAAAAATAAAAGAGGGAAGGGAATATTGGGCTGGGGGTGGCAGGTCATTCTTTTAGAGAGGGTGGCCAGGAATGGCCTCACTAGGGTGATATTAGAATAAAGACCTGAAAGAGGACAGAGAGCAAGCCATGAGGATCCTGGGGAAGTGTTCCAGGCTGGGCACAGCATGTGCAAAGGCCCTGAGGTGGGGACAGAGAGTGACAGTGAGGGGGCCAGTGAAGAAGAATGAATGAGAGGGAGTGAAAGAGAGGTGAGGGGGGCAGATCATGTGGGGTTGCTGGAAGGATTTTGGCTTTCACCTGGAGTGAAATGGAACTACGGGATAGTTTTAAGCAGAGGAGTTGGGGGTGAGTCTGTATCAGAGTGTGGGGCCCGGGTTATGAGACAGTTGGGTCCAAGTCACATAGGAGCAGCCTGTCAAAATGTGGAGGCCTGGTTGTGGCCTGATGAGGTCCCTGTGTGCTGGGGAGGGCCTGTGTCTGGACCCCTAAGGGTGGCTAGATCCAGGGCACTCCCTGGATTGACTCCATAAGGCGTGGCTCCCCCTGCCGGCTGCCTGCACATCCCTCAAGCTGGAAAGGGATCGCCAAGGCCAGCTTTGGGCCCCCCACTCCCTGACACCCCCAGCCCCCATTCCCTATGGAGAAAGTGGAGTCCAAAGTCATCTTCTCCATCCTCCTGCCTCTAGGGGAGCCAAGAATCACGCTCCTCCATGAGGCCCTCGGCAGGTTGAGCCTGGGTGGGAAGGGTTCACAGTCCCCCCTCCCCATTTCCCAGAGCCTGGGGGCCCAGCCAGGGCCCTGGTCCCGCCCTCGGTGACCGTTCGAGAAGGCTACCTGCTCAAGCGCAAGGAAGAGCCCGCCGGCCTGGCCACACGCTTTGCGTTCAAGAAGCGCTACTTCCGGCTCAGCGGGGAGATGCTCTCCTACTCTAGGAGTCCTGAGTGTCAGGTGGGGCTCCAGCCCACTGTGGAGGGTTTTCCAGGGGTGGCCTCACTCATAGAGCTGCCTCTTTGTACCCAGGGAGATACTGAGGTCCAGGAGGGGACAAGGACTGCCCAAGGCCCCGTGGCAGCTTAGCAAGTCCAAACTCTGAGGCCAGGCTCTGCTCATATCTTTGGGTCAGTGTGGGCACAGGACACGGACAGGCAAACGCCTACACATAGCATCAGACATTCTTCAGAACATGCACCTCTGGTGGCTGGGACGTATCCTCCCAGATGTGGACATGCACAGGGCATGGACACTGCTGAACCCCACTCAGATGTGACCACCCAGGTCTCTGCCCGCATACCATAGAGACTCACAATTGGATCTGTTCACCCAGAGGTACATGCCCGGCTGGACAGGCACTCACATCCAGACATTTGTTCACTCATTCATTCATCCATCAAGCATTTATTCGAGCACCTACTGTGTACCATGCAGTGTTCTGGTCACTGGAGATACCACAGTAAACAAGACATAAACTCCCTGCCCTCATGGGGCTGCCATTCAAGCCAGCACAAACTGAGACACACACTGGATCTACCCATTTCTGTGTCTGCACAGCTACAGACCATAATAGCTAACACTGGAGAGGGTGCCCACAACTTATTCCTTCTACTTTATCAGCAGAGTGTAGATTCTAGAGTTCAACTCTCTGGGTTTCAATTCTGGCTCCACCAGCTGAGTGACCACAGGAGGGTCCTTTAATCCTCCTGTGCCTCAGTTTCCTCATCTATAAGTTGGGAGGAATAATAGACCCAGCCTCAGAAATGTGTTGTAATGATGAAATAAGTGGAGAAATGTATCGTGCTTAAACTACATCTCAAGTGCTGTGTCGGGGTTGCGATGGTGGAAACTGATGTCCAGAGACGTTGTCACTTAGAGAGTGATGGGCCGGGACTGCAGGACTCACGGAACTGCCAAGTGGACACGCACATAGCACAGATGCGCGGGGTGAATGTCCCCACGCCAAGGCACACACCCACAGGAAAGCTGTCCCTGGGCACAGCCACGCCAGCCCCAGCCCCCGGCCCGCCCGGCAGCGACAGTCCTCTCTCACAGACGCGATCCTCCATGCCGGTGTCGCACATCCGCGCCGTGGAGCGCGTGGACGAGGGCGCCTTCCAGCTGCCGCACGTGATGCAGGTGGTGACGCAGGACGGCGCGGGAGCGCTGCACACCACCTACCTCCAGTGCAAGGTGAGGCGCTGCGAATATGAGGGAGGAGCGGAGGGAGCCCCTTGGGTCAAACCCCACCTCTGACCGCCCCCCACCAACTCCCTGAAGAACGTGAACGAGCTCAACCAGTGGCTATCGGCCCTGCGCAAGGCCAGCGCCCCCAATCCGGACAAGCTGGCCGCTTGGCACCCCGGTGCGTTCCGCAGCGCGCACTGGACCTGCTGCCTCCAGGCCGAGCGCTCAGGTGAGGGGGCGGGGAGGGGCGGACTCAGGCCCCGCCCTCCACACCTGTCAATCAGAGAGTGTCCCACCTCATCCTGGGTTGGCGCTGCAACTTTGGGCGAGTTCCTTAACCTCTCTCTTGCCTTGAAGTCTCCCCAAGTGTGAAATGGGGTTGATAATAGTGTCCACCTTGTAGGGCTGCTGTGAGGAGTAAATAAGTTGACATATGCAAAGCGATTAGAACACTGCCTGGCACACAGATACCTTTCAAGCACCCACTAAACACCGGGCGTCTAGTGGTACACAGACATCAGGCTTGCTCTCAAGGAAAACAAGTGAATAACCAGACCATTGTAATACAGTGTTACAAGTGCCAAGGTGTGGCTTTTGAGACTCCAGAGAACACCTCTGACCCAGCCCCAGGGTAGGACAGCAAGAAGGGCTTCCTGGAGTAGGTGCCACTTAAATGTGACCTGAGAAGGATAAGAGTTAAGTAGTGAAGTTGGAGGAAGGAAGAGTGTTCCAGGCAGAGCAAACGTGGGCTGAAGGATTGAAAAAGGTCTGTGGCTAGAGCGTAGAATGTGGGAGGGGGATGGAGAGAAGTGAGACTATGGCTCTTCTGGGCGAAGGTTGAGGCGGTGGGGCTGAGGGAAGTAGTAGGTTTGAAGGGTGATTTTAGAGGCAGAGGGGCAGGGCTTGGCCATGGGGCTTCTGAAAGGGGAATGGGAGGTTAATGATGATGCCGTGTTCCCCTCAGCTGCCGGTTGCAGCCGCACACACTCAGCCGTCACCCTGGGGGACTGGAGTGACCCGCTGGATCCCGACGCTGAGACCCAAATGGTGTATCGGCAGTTGCTTCTAGGGCGGGACCGGCTCAGGTGGGTCCTCCCCACCACCCAACCCACTTCACTATGCCCTGCTGGGGCAGCTACCCACTGTGCCCTCCCACGTCCACATGTTCTTTCTTTCCATGTGCATCTGATGAGCTTCCGGGGGCGCAGGCTCCAGGGAAGGACGGGGAAGCATCCTCAGGCGGACCCTAATGTGGAACTGGATCTTGGGATCTTTTTTTTTTTTTTTTAAATTTTTACTTTTTGGTCATGCTACGCAGCATGTGGGGTCTTAGTTCCCTGACGAGGGATCGAACCCGCACCCACTGCATTGGACGCACAGAATCTTAACCACTGGACCGCCAGGGAAGTCCCATGGATCTTGGGATCTTTTGATACCCAGGACTCCAGAGACACAGGGCACAGAGCTTGGATGTGTCCCTCCACCTTGCTGGCTGGCCTCAGGATCACTGTCATTCAGTGACGGAGATGTGTTCCAACTCATAGTGTGGATTCTGAAGCTGGCCTGCCTGGGTTCAAATCCTGGACTGGCTACTCACTGGCTGTGTGATCTCGGGCGAGTTGCTTACCTTCTCTACCTCAGTTTCCTCATCTGGAAAATAAGGGTACCAACTGTACATACCTCATGGGGTTGTCCTAAGGAACAAATGAGTTAATACAGGTAAAGCACTTTGTAGGTGCCTGGCCACATAATAAGCTTTCAATAAAGGGTAACAATTATTATTATGCTCTGTGACCTTAGGTAAGTTACATTACTTCTCTGTGTCTCAGTGATCACCTGTATAACGGAGCTAACAGTAAGTACCTACATGTGTTTTGTGCTAATTAAATGAGTTTAAACATGTAAAGGGCTTAGAATAGGATCTGACATGCTATAAATGTTTGCTGTGATGATGAGGATGGTTTAGTGGGAACCTGTAATGTCTCCGTCAACCAGCAGAATCTCTGGGTTCGAGAGCAGCATTGGGACTCAGGAACCAGCTTGCTTTTCCCCCTCTTAACTTTCAGGATGAAATTCCTGGAGGATTCCACCCTGGATACGACTCCCGAGGCAGACACAGAGAAGGGCTCCAGTGCCACAGAAGGTAAGGGGATAAGGAGGTCCCTTTTCTTTGCCCTCTCTGATACCTCCCACAACTTGCTCAGCACCCCGCCCTGTCCTCCCCTCCCACTCTCCTCTTTCCAGTCCACGAGCAGGCCAGTGGCTGTGTGTATGCGGCCCGGGCACATTTTAGGATCTCAGGGCACCAGGCACATATGGGGCCTGAGGAAGCCACTGGATCTGAATTACAGCAGCCTGCCCTGGCCTCGCTGAGCCCCTGTGGCCTCCTTTTCTTTCTCCCAGGGGCCTGTCCTGCTGCCCTGGCTCACCAGAGAGAGGCAGCTGCCCGTCTGCTGGAGGTGCTCGCAGACCTGAATCAAGCCCACGAGGAGTTCCAGCCTCAGGAGCAGCGGAAGGTGGCCCCGGGCCCCCTGAGGCCCTGAGGACACGCCAGAGCCAGCCTGAAAGGAGGCGAAAAGAGCCGGTGGGCCCTTCTCAGCGTCCCCTGGCCCAGGAGTCTCCTCGTGGCTGTCTGGTACCTCGTGGCTGCTGTGGCTTGCAGGCTCCTGGAGATATCCTAATCCCATGTGTCCTAAGCTGAGAACCCAGGCATGGAAACCCTTTGGCAGGGGACCATCCTTGCACTGAATGAGCCTTACCCTCTGGGTTGAGGCACTCTGGAGTGGATGGAATAAGGAACCTGACCCACTTGTCTCAGCCTGAGGTTTCTGCTTCACAGGACTGGCCTCTACCCACACTGACATGGCCAGCCTGGCCCTGAGCTGCTGGATACGGCTGTACCTGAATCCCTGATGCCCATGTGGCCTTGTTGGCCCAGATAGGCACTAAACAGGCTCAGCCCTTCTGTTTTCATGTCTGCCAATCCCTGTAGCCACATTGATCCTCCTGAACCCTGTCCTTGGCCGAGAATCCTAACCACAAGCCTCCAGAATCAGGTGCCCTCAGGAATAACTGAGGCCGAGAGCCCAGCGTGCGTGACTCAGACCCTTGGGAGACTTTGGGCCAGGCCCTTTCCCTCTCTTTGAGCCTCAGTTTACCCTGTATAAAATGAGGAGGGAGTGAGTCTAGATGTGTGGTTTTCAAAATGGGTTCCATGGGGATAGCGTGGGAGCCAGGGAGGGATTTCTCAGACTGTGGTTCAAAGCCCACCCTCAGGTTGTCTGCTAGAAATGCAGATTCCTGGGACCGCCCCCAGATCTTCTGAATCAGCATCTGAGGGAGCGTGAGGGCAGGAATCAGGGTTTGAAACAGGTTCCACAGGTGATGTGGTTGTACATGAGATTTGAGGACCATGGGGCTGGGTGGTTTTGTACATTGAGGTGAGATTTTGTTTGAGAATTAATCACAGAAGGTAAAGTGTTTGGGAACACCCAACTGGCAGAATTGGAAGGGCCTCCAAAGACTCATTTCCAGTTTTGTGTGACTAGAGGGTAGGACAGAAACCTAAGCCTATCTGGCTGGGGGAGTGGGGTGTGGTGGCGGTAACATGGACCAGATGCAGTGCTATCCTGAGCGTGGCCGGAAGGGGTCGCCTGGAGCCGTGGCGTCCACCACAGCTTCCTAGCATCCTGGGATGTTGCAGAGACTGACAGGAGACTTGCGGCAGATCCCGGGATACGTCCCTGTCTCTCCCTAGACAGAACCTGGTCCTCCTCCCTGAGGGCAGAGGCTGGGGCGCTGAGGTTCCAACGAGCCGATCACGGCGTCTCCCAGCTCCTCCATATTTTCCAGGAGGCTGGCAGCTCCCAGCCTGAGTTCCTGGTTCCTAGTAATTGTACCAGGGAGCAGCTGTGTGCATTGCCGTGCGCGTGCTTGAGAGCAGAGCTTTCACCTGTGCCCTCTTGGGGACTAGGATTGGGAGGGTCTGCCTCTGCCACCATCACACCCCCTGCCTGCCCCAGGACAAGAGAAGTATGGGGACCCTCCATCTCCAGCTGCCCAAGGCTGACGGGGCAATGGTCCTGGGTCATTTTGTTGCAAGCGCCCCCATGGGATGGACCGAAAGCCCCCAGAAACAGAGCCACGCACACCCCTTCTTGACAGGAAAAGACCCAGCGGAGGAGGAGAAAGACCATTTATTTCTCCACCCACAGTGGGACTGGTAGATTTTCAAAAGAGCAATCACTGGCGTCCCTTTAAATCTTGGCTGACTTCCGCCGTGGCAGCCAATCAACAGAGGCAGAGCTGGTGAGTTGCCTGGGCAACAGGCCCCTGGTTGGCCGAGACCATCAGCCACCCCGCTGCCCACTTCCAAGGCAAGGGAAATGGACTCTTTGCTGTCCGGTCTGCTTTTTAAACCTGCTGGCCTAAGCCAGGCCCTCCTCGTCTCACTCCTGAAGCCAGATGCTCCAGCCTTTGGATCTTGACATTGGGAGCGATTTGGTGGAGAGAATGGGGTGGGGAGGAAAGGAAAACAGTGCCTTTATCAGGGACAGACATAAGGCCTGGGGATTGCAGGGGAGAAGAAGGAGGTCAGGGTCGCAGAAGGATGAAGAGACACAAGCACAAAATAAGATTCTCCTCGTCTGTCTCCCTGGCCCGCCCCTTTGCAAAACTGCTGAATATTCTGGGAGCTTCCACCCTGTGGGCCCACAACTGCCCATCAGCGGGTGGCAGAGATGGGGGGGGCTGAGGCTCCCAAGTGCCCCCTTTTCTCCCGGACCCTCACCAGGCCCCCAAGTGCTTGACCCGAGTCCTTTTGTTTGCAGACAAGCCTGTACAGATGCGTTAGAGACACAGATGGGAATCCACATGGAGTATCATCACAGGGGTCTTTCTGTCTCTTCCCCCCCAGTCTGGGGGTAAGTAGAGGCACGTGGGTGTGCGTGCATGTGTTCAACAGGACACGTGTGTTTGCGTGAGGGGGTGGGGCTCTCTGTCTTTTTGGTAGGGAGGTTGCTGTGGTTTCCGGTACACCCTTGCGACCCTCTCAGGTAGCTAGGGTCGAAGCCGGCTGGCCCGCCATCCTCCCATCATCCCAACTGCTACCAGCCAAATCCCGGGAACGCTTCTGGTTCCTCCTGCAGGCTCCTCCCCAGCCCTGAACCTGGGCCGCCAGGACACACCTGGCAGAGGGAGGCATGTGCTGCATGTGCTGGACCAGGGGCAAAGCAGGAGGGAAGGTGGACAGCCTTGGGCCTCAGGCCTTGGCCACAGCCTCGGACACACCCTGGGCTGTGAGCTCTGCCAGCACGTTGTCTAGGTAGCTAGCGTCTGGGTAGCCGTGGCCCGTGAGGTTGGATCCAAACTCGGTCTTGTGGTGGATCTCGTTCCACACCACGGTGTCCGACTCGCCCGTGGTGTTGGATGTGCCGATGGTGAAGATAAGTCTCCGCTCCCAGGCGGTGATGAGCAGCCTCAGCACCTGGAGGGCGGGGCAGGCAAGGGTCACAGCCAGCCCCACCCACAGCCGGAGTCCCTCCCTGACCACACTGTGGCTCCCCTGCAGGATTCCCTGCGGCTGCCCGGCTTGGCCACTTCCTTCCCTAGACTGGCTCCCACTCTGAGCTCCCTCAGTAAAAGCACTTTCCATGTTATCAGCCTGTTTCTCTGGGGCGAAGGGTCTCAAACTGATGGCCCTCAGCTGTGTTTGGTTTGGACCTCATGCTGTATCAAAGAGCCACTTTGTGACTTCGTTGGCAATATTCAAAAACCCGGGGATTTCACGTGAAAATCAGAATTTCTGGCTCCTCTTGAAAAACAAAAAGTAAAAGCAGACAGTCTCTAGCGTGGCAGTGAAGAACCTAGACTGCTTGGGTTCAAATCCAGGCTCCACTGTTTGCTAGCTGTGTGACCTTGGGCAAGTTACTTGCCCTCTCTGAGGCTTCGTTTCTTTATCTCTAAAAGGAGGTCAAGACCTTGACTTCAGCGGGCTGGTGAATGAGATGAGGTGTGTGAGGCGACTGGCAGGGCTAGACACACAAACACAGACACACAGACACACAGACACACACTGGGTGGTTATAGTCAGTGCTGGTGCAGGGACTGGGGAGAACGGGGACCACAGGTCCAGCTGATGGCGGCTGGGGGCCCAGCCTGCTCCCACATCCCCGCGCCCTCACAGCACCCACCTTCCGGCCCTTCTCGTTGTTGGGCAGATAGCAGTGGCGTGGGAAGCCTCTTGCAGTGAACTTCTTGCCTGGGTTGGGGTGCTCGGGGCCCTGTGGGAGAGGCAGCAGGGGCTTGAACCGCAGACAGCGGCGGTGGCGGTGGCCTCGGGAGGGCTCAAAGCTAGGGGCCTGGGGGCTTACCTGGATGCCTGTGGGGATGTCGTAGACGATGCGGATGGTCTGGGTGTCAGCGAAGCCAGGCAGCGAGTGGGGGATGAGGTGAAACTCCATCTTCCCGGGTGGCTGAGTGCCCGTCTTCTCCCCATAGATGGCCTTGCAGGTGGGGCACTGCAGGCTGCCATCCTGGGGTGGGGGAGAGTGGCCGTGAAGTCCCCAGGTGTCCTAGCCCCGCCCGGCCCCCCCTGCCTACTCCCCACCCACTGCCCCACCCAGCCCACCTTGTTGCCATTGGAGTACATGGCCACGAGGCACAGCAGGTGGTACATGTGGCCACAGCGACCCAGGCGGCCCACGAGCTCAGGTCGCACGCCCTTGTGCCGAAGCACGCCCTCGTAGCCGGAGGCTGTGACCAGCCGCTCCATGCAGATGGTACAGTCCTGGGGGAGGGGGCACAGACGGGAGACTGAGGACTGGGGAGGGCGGGACACCCTTCCCCAGTCAGCGCTGCTGCTGGGCAGGGGCCAGACCCCCTATCCCCCAAGGGCAAGAGACCGCCCCCTCTCTGGTCCCCATCTATCAAAAGGAGAGGACACCCCCAGGTACTGAATTCAGACACATGCAGAGGAAGAGATGGCTTGCTCACACGCCCCTCCAGAAGGATTAAAGGCTTAACGATCAAAAGCAAAACTTAAACACATTTGGTGGAAAATATGGGTAAAAATAAGCTGCAAACAGGAGGGGCTGCTGCGGTGAGAGGCCTGCGTGCCGAGGCAGGAGTGGCCCCCGCTCGCTGCGGCTGGAAAGGACCCACGCGCAGCAACGAAGACCCAACGCAGCCAAAAAAAAAAAAAAAAAGCTGCAAAACTAAGATTGATCAGTGTGATTCTGTTAAACGTAGCATTTCTGTTCATCAAAAGACGCTGTAAGAAAGTGAGAAGGCAAACCCACAAACTGGGAGAAGAGACTGTAACACCTAGAACCAGGTGAGGAGGTGAGTGCTGGGCTCTCCATCTCTGGAGGTGAGGCTGCCTGTCCCCCGCACAGGTACCCTCCCCTAGGGGCTCACCTCATCAGGTGGGTTCTTCACCTTCTGCATGTACCTTCGGACCACATCCTCAGGGTTCTTACCTGCAAGGACAGAGTGGGGGTGGGCTTGAGGGTACCCAGAGTCTAGTCCTGAGGGCTTGGCCGAGGACAGGGTCACGGGTCAGAGGGGTGGGGTCAGAAGCTGTAAGGGTTGGCAGGAGTCACATGTCAAGGGCTGCTCGAGGTTTGATGTAGTCGGAGTTGGTGGCGAATGGGGTCAGGGAACCAGAACTGAGATGGGGTCACAAGTCTTTAGACCAAATTGGAGTTGAAGGGCCAGAGGGGTTGCGGTCAAAGGTTAGTGGGGTCAAGTTCGGGGTCAGGATCGGGCGCGGGAGGCATACTCTTCTTGAGGTGCTTCTTCTTGGTCTTGCGGCACACCCCGGGCACGCCTGGCACGGGCTTCACGTCGCTCTTGCTCACGGGCGGTGGGTGCAGGATGGGCTTGGGGGCCCGCGTCAGGCACACGGGCAGCCCCGCAGCGCAGAGCAGGATCCCGGTCATCCCTGGGGAGCGGCGGCGACAGTCAGGGGGCGGGATGCTCATCCGGGTCCCGCCCGCCCTGCTCTCCCAACATCGCGTGGACCCATGGGGTCTCTCCCCAGACTCCGCCCATCTGGTAAGCCCAGGAATCCTCAGATGGGTGGGTGGGGTGCCCGATGGGCCCCGCCCACTTAGCTCCCACCCAAGGTTGAAGCCGAGTGGAGTCCCTTCTGCGGGCCCCATGGACCCCAGTGTTATGGCCCAAAGGCAGGGGGTGTGTGCTCTTGGCCACGCCCTCCAAGGGGACGGGCCAAGGGGCCGAGAGGTGGGGCTGCCACCTTGTGGGCCCCGCCCTTCTTTCCCGTCCTGGACTGGACTCACCTGCCAGGGCCGGGTGGACTGGCCCCGTACCATTCAAGTTCTTCACCGGGAGCGCAGGGACCCTGAGGGGAGAAGAGAAGAGGCTGCAGCCCCCCCCGCCCCGCACCAGAAGATCAGGGGACTCTGCTTTGCCTTCTGGCTCTGGCTCGTGGCCATACTCTGACCCGTTTGTGCCTGTCCCAGTTATCTAGAACGACCACCAGGGAACTCCATTCCTACTCTGACATCCTTCTATTATGGAGTTCGGTGTGAGCAGGACCTCCGCGCCTGTGATAACGGAATGAACCCCTAGACTTAGTACTGACCCTCCCCTACTCCACAGCTGGCCTCCTCCCTGGTGAGAGCACTTGGCTCCCAACTGCTCCCTTTCATTGGCCACTGTGCCTGAAACCCAACTATTTGTGATTTAGCCATTCTATGCTCTCAAACTTTGCTATATGGAGCACTGATCCCCATAAAAGGTTCTGGGAAAGGAGGATTTAGGGATCAGTTAGGAAACACTTCACTGTCCCACTTGGAAATTCACAACACATATGGGCATATTAAAGGCTCTGATAAGTCCTGCATAAGGAAATATGGTTAGCAATGGTAAATCCAGGTTTCCCAAAGACATTTGATGATGAACATTTCCCCCCTCTGGAATATTTACTGATGTCAGTTCCTGTGACTAAGGCACTGTCACCTCTTCAAATGAAGAGGCCCTAGGAAAATGTAGCCTGCTTCCCCTCTTTGCCCTTCCCTCCAAAGAGGCCTGGCTTTTGGAATCATCCAGAGC